TTTGTTGAAGGAACCTGAAACCTCCCAACAAGATCTCCAGCTGCCATTCTCTCCCTTCCATAAAACAACCATCCTTTCAAAGCCATTTTTAAAAGATGCTGAGTTTCTCAGAACTGCAGAATGAACTGTCCAATGAGAACTCAGAAGTGGGGCTGGGCCAGAGCCTGGGGTTGTTCTCCACAATTCCTGGGAAGGCAATGGTCTGCAGGATTCCAGCTCTGCTTTTCTTGTTCCTGGCTTCCTCCATACACAGTCTGAGCAACCTGGACCATCCACATCAGTCTAAACGTCTCCAGAAGAAGCCATGGATCAACGTGGTGGCTCAGCAGCCTAATCCTTCACCTTGTAGCACCAGAATCCCATATGGGCGCCAGTTATAGTTCTGACTACTTCACTTCCCATCCAGCTCCCTACCTGTGGCCTGGGAAAACAGTAGAGGATAGCCCTAGTCCTTGGATCCTGCACCCACCCAGTGGGTGGAGATCATCCATTCACTTTACTGGTTCACTCCCCCAAATTACCGTAACAGCCAGGGCTAGCCAGGCAGGAACTCAGGAACTCAATCCAGGTCTCCCACATGGGTGGCAGGGACCCAACTACCTGAGCTGTCACCTGTTGCCTCCCAGGGTACACTTTAGCAGGAAGCTGGAGATAGAAAGTGAGCCAGTACTCGAACGCAGGCACTCTAACAGGAGATGAAGGTGACCTAACCACGGTGAGCCAAATGCCCCTCCCCTGTAGTTGGCTTCTTTCAGCAAAGATACCTAGATTATCACTTAACCAAAAATACCAGATTAGCAGCTTCCCATGAATCTAAGTGTCATCATGAGGCTAAGTCCTATGCATGAGACATAAGCAGACATCCAAGTGAGCTTTTCTGGGAAGTTTCCTTTTGTGGGAGAAGGGTAAGGGTGTGATGATGTGATGTCTGGAGCTCCTACTGCCATCTTGGACCATGAGTGAAAGGGCTGCACTCGTAAGACAGCAGAGAGAGCAAGAAGAAGTCTGGGGCACTGATGATTGTGAAGCCCCCACAACACTGCCCAATTCAGGTTTATTTATGTCAGAGGGAGATACAGGCCCATCTTGTTGTAAGCCCCCCAGGTTGGAACAGGTTCCCCAGGAAAGGAGGCCTGAGGCAGTTGGCAGAGTGTTGGGCGGATCAACCGCAGTGGCTCAGGTCCCCTGCCAGGTGGCTTGGGTCTGTACAGAAGGGAAACAGCAGGACACAATCTGAGGGTGAGCCAAGGCCTAGAACAGGTACCAGAGTAGCAATTATACCTCCAGCGGAGCAGGCTCTGGGCGGGGAAGTCATGGATGATATAACAGCCAAGCAGTCGGCAGGTGCCCTAAGCAGGTGGAAGTCAATTGTTCTACTAATAATTGGGAAACATTGGTTATTCTTAAGGAATCTGGGTAAATCCCTCCCTTTGGCTTCTCTGAGCTATGATTTATGGGCGGCAAAGTCACTTAAGATAATAAAGCCCCAGGCCTGGTGGCAAAGTGCTAAGCTTATTCAAGGAGAAAGGGACCACTTAACCATCCCTGCTTTCCTTGAGGGAGCAATATCCTGAGGGAGCAGGTTCCTAATGTATTTCCATCATTCACACCCTCGGGAAGAAGGATGGGAAGAATCAAGAAGAAAATACTGCAAGTGCTACATTCATCTCAAACATTTGACAAGTTAGGAAATGGTTTCTAAGAACTACAACTCCCAGCAAACAGGTCCCACTATCTTTTTCTACCTGCTCTCTAAAAGCTCAGAATTGATTGAAAAAAAAAAAAAAAGTTGGCTCAGTATCAACTGACTTGTATGTACCTATTCAATACAAGGAGGAAAATGTGTTACTTTAAAAATAGATTTGTTCTCTCTTTGTGTGTAGTTCTCCCTCTCTCTAAGTCTGACTTTCAAATAAAATAAACCAGTATTCTTTAAAAAAAAAAAAAGCTGGTGGGAGGGACAGCATTGTGCCATAATGGGTAAAGCTACCACCTGCCTTGCTGGCATCCCATTAGAGTGCCAGTTTATGTCCCGGCTGCTCCATTTCCATTCCAGCTCCCTAATGATGCTCTGGGAAAAGCAGCGCAGGGTGGCTCCAAGCACTTGGGCTCCTTCACCTACAGAGGAGTCCTGGAGAAGCTCCTGGCTCCCAGCTTCAGCCACTGGACATGATGGACATCTGGAGCACGAACCAGCAGTTGGGGGCACTCTCTCTTTCTTTCACCCCACTTCCCCCAGCCTCTGTAACTCTTATCCATAAAATAAATACATCTTTTTAAAATTAGCTTTGTTCTCATACGACCATGTAGAACTGGACTATTTGTTCCTAAGCAAACAGAACGCCAATGCATTGTGCCTCACTTTTATTTGCTGAAGAAAGCATTGGGCTGGCAACGAGAGAACCTAGGAGCATCCTGGTTCCCTTGAATGTTTAGAAGCAATAGTAAACTTAGTCACAAGGGGCAGGGGTAGAACTGCTGCCTTCTGGCCTTCCCATCCAGGCCGAGTCTACAGGCCTGGCTTTCCCAGGCTTGCTCCGCCTTTGCGTGGCTGAATCTCTCCTAACAGACCTCTTACTGTATATTCACACACACTATCAGTCTGTTTCTCAGAGAGTCCTAATACATCAGCCAAATGAGAATAGCCAAGAATAATTCTTGAGAAGTCTTTTACAGCGCAGGACTCAGAGACCAGCACTGGTGTGAGACAGGGACTCAAAGGCAGCCAAAGAGAAAGCCTCCTTCTAGGAAGAAAGGGATGGGGTAGGCATTGGGTGTACCAGTTAGCCCACTGTGGAGCTTGCTCCTGTTCCATATCAGAATGCCTTTGAGTCCCAGCTCTGCTTCAAATTCCAGCTGCCTACCAATGCAGACCAGGAGGCACAAGAGCTGGCTCAAGTGCATGGGCCCCTGCCGCCACATAGCATATTCAGACAGTGCTCTGGGCTGCTAGCTTTGACCTGGCTCAGCCCTGCCTGTTGAAGGCATGTGAGCAGTGAACCAGCAGATGGAAGATTTCTCATGTGCACCCTCTCTCTGCCTTTCAAAGTAAATTAGTATAAATTATATAATATATATATACATGTATATATATATAAATTTTTTTAAGTGAAAAGAGAAAATTGCAACTGCGCTCTAATTGGAACCTATTGACCAGAAAAGCTGTGGGCAGGCGAACTGCAAGCAGGTCATCCCATGATTCCATGTATCTGGTTAGTGTGCAAATGTTGCTTTCTCAGGTTGGTCCTCAGTTACAAAGAGGACACAAAAGGAAAGAAAGCTTTTGGCCATTCCTCCAGGCCTGGCCACTTTGCACCAACTGTGAGCGGAGTTACTCTTGGGCATCTGAGTTGCTGCATTAGTATGACTTCAGGTGTGACTTAGGGGTGGGCGCCTCGTTTCTGGACAGGCTGTGGGTCAGCGCTCTGTAAGACATAGTCAATGTCCATTTGGATACCCAGTCTCTTTCAGACACAGACAGCTGCTGTGGGGCAGCCAGCCTATCCCTCGGCATCTGCAGAAAGCATGTTGAGAGGCAGCTGATTCCTACAGACTGTGTGGCCCAGGGGTGCCTGAGAGTGCACCTGCCTCCCCTCTCCACACCCCGGCTACCCCTAAACATCCTGGAAGGTGGGGAGGGAGTGTGGTGATGGCAGCAGAGGGAAGAGTGTCCTCAGTGGTCCTGGGCCCTGGCTGCTGTCAGCCAGAGCCCTATGAGCAGCTGGAAACACATACTGATGTGTCTCCCCAGCCTCCACCTCCACCACCTACCACCACCACCACAAGGAGTGTCATTTCATAACTCCTGGGCATCCGCACTTTTTAGAAGATCCCTGGTGAGTCTGAGTTGCACGCTGATTAGCGCCTGGCAGCTACGGAGCAAGACAGGTAACCTTAGAGAGGGTGGAATGAAAACGTAGTGATCCGTGAGCACGAAATCAGAGCGTGCTGCCACGCCGTCTCCAATCTTTCAGGCTGGTGATGATGTGCTTCGGGCACGCAAAATGCAGAGTGGAGCCGAGCCGGAGGTTGGTAAAGAGGAGAAGGTCGCTGAGTGAGAGACTGTGCAAAATGAAAAGTGGCAGGAGGCAAGCTGTGGGCGGAGGGGAGCAGGTGAGTACAGTTCAGGCCGTCATGGAACAGCTGAAATTCTACCTCCAGCATCCTTCCTCCTTCTAAATCACTAACACCATACATTTCCCCCTCGGAAAATGCCATTTTACCATAACACATTGCTTCCTGTGCAGTGTATGAAGTGTGTGTGTGTGTTTTGGGTCAGTCTGAACTCAAACATGTTAAACAGCACTTAGGATGAATGTATTGAGGTTATATAAATTCCCATATCTCAAAAGATTCTCACACACATTCCACGTGCTCAGCATCCTGTTTATTTCAAATCATTTCCATTTCCATTTATCAACGCATTTGAATCTGGGACAACACCACCCCCTGGTGGAAGTCTGCAAGAATTATCCCACCCTATTTAAGCAGAGAATTTTAATACTGCGAAAAATGATTGTCTCATACAGGCACCTCCCCACTACCCATAGCAAAAGGTTCTATTCAAACAAAATCATTAGTAAAATTTCAGTGAACCAAGTTGCAAACATGGGGTTATGCTGGAAGCTTTTTCTTTTTAACACATCTTCAAAACCCCCACTCCCACCCCAATATGTGCAAAATACAACATTCGAGGTGGGCATTTGCGTGTGGATAAGACGCACTTGGGACACCTATGTCACACATTTGAGTGCTCTGTGTTCAAGCCTCATCTTCACTCCAAGTTCCACCTCTCTGTTCACGCACACCCTGGAAGGTTGCAACCATGGCTGAGTCCCTGCCCCCAACGTGGGAGACCAGCCGGCATCCTTGGCTCCCAGCTTCGGAGAGTGACCTGGCAGACAAGCCTGCTCTCTCTCCTCTCCTCCCTACCTTACAAATGAGTAAAATACAAATTTTAATGGAACTGACTGTTAAACTTAAGTCACCTCCTTCCAAAAACCTTCTGGAGCATTCGTGATGCTGAGTCGGCCCAAGGCGAGAGGCCAGGCTAAACTTAATGGACTCAGCAGTTCCTGAGCTCCTTTTATTATGCGTTGCATTTCTCTCCTCCTCACTATTATTATTATTATTATTTTAGCAGGCTGCAAGACACCCTTTGGTTATATTTCATTTCGAATGATTATGTCATCTCAATTAGCAAAATAGCTCAGGGACAGCACACAGAATTCAATCTTCAAAAACTGCTTAGGTAAGTCAGCTGTGCCAGCCAGCTCTGCATCATTTATGGTAATGGGATACACAGCCCTTGGGTAAGGAAGCCCAGGAAGTTGATGAATGGATGCCACACTCACAGACAACTTGGCTTCCGTCTCCTGCCATCGCCAGCAGCTGAGGGGAGCAGGAGTTGGCCACGTCCTGCCGGTAATCATGCTTTGTCTTCAATCAAGTGTTACATGAGTCCACACGCCTGGTTGCCGCGCAGCTTTAAGCCGAAGGGTTATACAGCTCAGACAGCTGTCACCTGAGAAAGCCAGCATGGTAAGTGTTCTCCCTGCACGATCTCTGCATATTTGTGAGCCCAAGCATCAGAATCCCTCTGACTTGCGGTACTCCTGTAAATCAGCACGATCCTTGGACATGCCCTATATGAAAAACATCCTTCAACAACAGCAACAACAAAAATCAAACTTTTTGCTCTGTGTCATTAGTGGTAGACCTACTAAATCCACCGGGATCTGTTGGCTTCATTTCTCATTCTGAAAATCAACAAGTGTCTGATGAAGCTTTCATGCGTTAGGAGTGTTACTGCAGCCAGTGTAGCGCTCGTGTTGGGCACGTCTACAATTTCGAGCTGCGGGCAGGAGAGCGGAGGGCTTGTACACACTCGCTCACCAGCCTGACAGCCTCTAGAGCAGTGCCCCAGTGCACCGAGAAGCCGCCCGCACCGTGGCCGTAATGGTGGACCACGGGCAGCCTCCTGCCATCCCGCGATAAGAGCTCTGTCTGCAGTCGCAGGCCTGGCCTGTAGGGCCTCAGGCCCACCTTCTCCTTTAGGTTGTAGGCTCTGCGGAGTGAGGGCTCCAGAGCGCAACAGCGGGACAGAATATCTTGGCTGATGTCGGCATCCGGGGTCAGACTCCAGTCTCCCTCTTGCCTGGTCCCACCCAGGGTGACATGGAAGGCCCCAGGGTAAATATAGGTCAGTCCACTCCCGTCTCGGATAAAATGCTTCACCCAGGGAGCCTGCACCTGCAGCACCTGCCCCCTCACGGGGAGAACCGTGGAGTCCCCCGCAAGTTCTCTGCTTCCGAGCCCCGAGCAGTTGACCACGATGTCGAAGTTCTGGTGGAGTTCCCACAGGTCTTCTACCCGGCGAGTAAGGATCACACCCCCACCATCTTTCAGCCTGGGGAGGAGAGACACGGGGTGGGGTAAGCCTTCACGGCTTCCTGCTTACCCACTTCCAGGAGCGAAGGACAGGAACATCAGACCAGAAGGGAGAGAGCAAAAAATCGTAGCCATCACCTGCCTCTTCTTTTTCAAAAACAAGGAGTTCCTAAACTTGAACATAAAGGAGCATATCCTTTGAAAAACCTCAAGACAAATGATATACCTCATCTTTCATTGTAGAATCCGTCTGTCATTCTAGCTGTGAAATGAATACCAACTTGATCTGGTGGTTTTGGCTGCTTGAGTGTTTCTTGTTTCTGCCAACCATGTACCATCTACAGCCTGCCAGGGGTGTTCTGCCATATCGCGAGCTCGTGCCTGTGCCTCTATAGGGATGTAGACAGCATGTGCCTCCAACCCTGTTGTCTATAGGAATGTGAGTGTGAGAGGGACCAAAAATATTTACATCTGATACACAACACTATAATTTTGGTTGATAATTATTTTCTGGATCTAGTCTGTTAATAAGGAAAAGAAATAGCTTATCTAGGTCTTAAAACCTTTTTTAGAGGTTATAATAATATATACATGACATAAAATTTACTGTTTTGACATTAAATTTTTTAAAGATTTATGTAGCAGATAAAGTCATGCTCATGACCCTGGCCCACCACTCCATATGGGTGCTGATTTGAGTCCTAGCTGCTCCACTTGCAATCCAACTTCCTGCTAATGTGCCTGGGAAAGCAATGGAAGATAGCCCAGGTGCTTGGGACCTTACAACCATGTGGGAGACCTATACAAAGCTCCTGGCTCCTAATTCTGCCTTTCAAATAAATAAATGACTTTTGGGCGTCAGCATTGTGGTGCAGTGGATAAAAACATGAGATGTGGGGAGTGGGAGATAAAAATAGAAAGATCTTCCATCCACTGGTTCATTCTGCAAATGGCCATAATAGCCAAGGTTGGGTCCAGCTGAATCCAAGCCCCAGGAGCTTCATCTGGGTCTCCCACATGGGTGTAGGGATACAAGGAAATGGACATCTTCTGCTGTTTTCCCAGGCACATTATCAGGGAGCTGGATTAGAAATGGAGCAACCAGAAATTGAAGTTTTACCCATAAGGGATGCTGACACAGCATGCAGTGGCCCAACCCATTGTCCGATAGTATTAGCCCCATTTTGATCACTTTTTAGTGATGTTAAGCACACTCCATCATTATGCAATAGTCACCATGATTCATCTCCAGAACTTCTTCTATCTTACAAATGAGAACTCTGTGGTCATTGAACAATAGAGCCCAGGAGTATTATCATCTTAACTGTTTTATTTTGTAACCCTTTGATGTTGTTTATAAATCACTTTTCTTAAAAAGATTTAATCATTTATTTAAAAGACAAAGTTGCTGAGAAGAGGAAGGAGTGGGGTAGAGAAAAGGAGAGAAAGAGTTATCTTCCATCTGTTGGTTCACTCCCCCAGTGGCCACAATGGCCAGGGCTGGGCCAGGCAGAAGCCAGGAGCCAGGAGCTTCCTCCAGGTCTCCCACATGGGGGGTAGGGGTGCAAGGACTGGGCCAATCTGCTGCTGCTTTCCCTGTTGCATTAACAGGGAGCTGGACTGGAAGTGGAGAATCCAGGACTTAAACTGACGCCTATATGAATGCTGGCACTGCAGACAGTGGCTTAACTCACAATGCTAGGCCCCAGATATCACTCTTTTTTTGTAAGATTTACTTATTTTTATTTGAAAGTAGATTCACAGAGAGAAGGAGAGATGGAGAGAAAGATCTTTCATCTGCTGGTTCACTCCCCAAGTGACTGCAATGGTCAAGCTGAGCCAACCCAAAGCCAGGAGCCAAGAGCTTCTTCTGGGTCTCCCACATGGGTGCAGGGCCCCCAAGGCATTGGGCCATCCTCTACTGCTTTCCCAGGCCACAAGAAGGAAGCTGGATAGGAAGTGGAACAGCTAGGACATGAACCGGCATTTATATAAAATCCTGATGCATGCAAGGCAAGGATTTAGCCACTGGGCCATCGCACCGGGCACCTGAGATATCATTTTTAAAGTGTAGCTGTAATCTGAGGAGGGGACTGTAAGCATTTCTGCTCAACAGATGCAGGTCAAGTGCCTTGGATGTAAGGCCCTGCTCAGAGGAACAAAAAGGCACCAGGCATTAGCAGAGCTCACAAAGGAACCACACAATGGAAGCATAAGCACTTGTCAGAATGAGGTAATTTAAATAAATAAATGCATACAAAGTATCTTTAAAATGTTGAGGCAAAACACGTATTATTACTTTTTAAAAACAATGCATGGATCTCAAAGTGTTCAGCACTGAAATAAGCTGATCTTTTCATTCCATTCCGGTGAACTCTGAATCACGTCCCACTGATGCCGCTGCTCCTGCAGAGAGCTGGAAGGCCCCTACATTGCGCGCCCTCTCCACAGCTGCTGCGGTTCAAACGGACCTTAGGGAGAATCTGGGATGCGCCTCACACCAAAAATGGACATGCTGGTTTCCCACTGGGCCTGACACAGCAGGTCACGACAGCAGCAGGCCCAGAGGGACACATGAGAAAAGGGAGATGCTCAGGGAGTAGGCGGGTGTGGACAGACTAGCACTACTCCCCGCAGCAGCAGGTACCTCGCCCACTGTGTCTACTCCCCAGTCTGGGACACAGCAGCCTTGGGTCCTGCTGTAGAGGCTCCCACATGGGCACCTCTCACTGAACGCCTTCTCCCAGTATCTCCACGCTGCCTCCCTCTACAGAGACCTCTGCATTCTCTATTCACACAGCAGCCTGGAGAAGAATCTGGATCAGACCCACATAGGACCCAACAGATCCCTGTGCAAGCACGTTGCTGGGTTACGAGAGCTGAGAGGCACCTGTTGTTCTGTGTCTATGCAAACCCATCATGCTCCTGTTATTAAACACAAGCCGTCATGTCAAGCATCAGCGCTCCCGAGGAACACAGCTTACATCTCAGATGCTAGCATTTTTTACTCTTACTTGCTTGTGCTGAAAATACATGCAAGACACAGAAACCAAAGAGAAACATCTGGCAAACACCCACAGAGAACCCATGAAGCCAGTCAGTGCCTTATTTTGTGTCACAACTCAAAGTAGCTAAAAGACAGCAAATAAGGCTGGAGCTACTGTTTTCTGTTCTCTTTGGTTTTTGATTTTGGGTTTTTTTTTTCCTAAGTGAAAACAGCTTGTGGTTAAAAATACTTCATGTAGTGAATCTTATGGTCAAAGTTTTCAGATCTCTGTTAGAAGAAGCCATTTGAGAGTTTAAATTATGTTTTTAAACATATGAGAATATTTCAAAAGGGTTATGTGAGAGTGGAAACAAAAAGCAAGTTAGGGTTCAGCATTGAGGTGCACGGGGTTAAATCCTGCCTTTAATGCCACTATCTAACTCGAGCATCAGTTTGTGTCCTGGATGCTCCACTTGTGATCCAGCTCCCTGCAGATGGCCTGGGAAAACATAAAAGATGACCAAAAAGCATAGAGGCCCAGAAGAAACTCCTGGCTACTCTTTGATGGAGGAGGATATGTTTAGTCATATGAAAGGCAGACAGAGAGGGAGCAAGGGAAAAGAGAGAGATTGTACATGCTTTCATCCATGAGTTCATTCCCAAAACGCTCATGTCAGTCTGTGACAGGCCTGGCACATCCTTCCAGATCTTCTGCTTTGGTGGCAGGGACCCACACCCTTGAGTCACCCTCTGTGGCATCCCAGGTGCCTTAGCAGAAGCTAGATCATAAGTGTGGCACAGCTGGGACTCAAACCAAGCACTCAGACAGGGGATTCCAGGAGGCAACTCAACCCACCCATCAGGCTCTCCTGGGCTCCTGCTGGCATTCTTACCCCAGGCAGGACCCCTGGGGGAGATGGGCCTGCTCCTGGCCTCGATTACATGCAGGCTCTGCCTTTAAACCACGGGTGTGGGCAGCTGCCAGGACCAGAGGAAAGGGAAGTGAGAAAGATCAGCGGTAACTTAGATCTGCAAACCTGGATTGTGATGCTGCCTCATGTCTGGATTAAGGAACATTGACACAGAAAAAAGTGTTGAGAGGAAGGGGCTAGAATCTTCCAAAAGTGTCCAAAAGTTAAGAAACTGCTTTTAAGAAGGAAATGACAGAGATGTGGCAAAAACAAATAAACCAAAAATGTATAAGCAGTGCAAAGGGGCTTGTGATGACCTAATCTTGGGTGATTATTTCATCAAAATACGTAATAAGAGCAGATTCTAATTTGTTGCATAAATAGAAGTTCTGACATTCGCATGCTTGTGCATACACTTTATGCTGGTTTTCTGCTCACTGTTACAAACAAACCTAGAGAGAGAAAGCCCTTCCTCACAGGAGAGGGCAAGCTAAAGGAGGCAGGAGATGACCACGTGACAAACGTCACTGTGATGGTGGCTTCAGGCAGGAACTCCCAGTGGTCGCTGACACGTGTAGGTGACACTGCTGACGGCCCAGAAACCAGGGCTGAGTACAGAGGTGAACGCATGAATGAGGCAATGTATCCCATAGTCTACATCCGGGACCAGACCGTTGCTGCCACTCTTCCTTCAGGTTCTTCCTCCCACATTTACACAGTAACCCTCGTGTGTTCCTCAGAATCCATCAGTGTATACAGAGTTGGTGGGCAGTGAGAACGCTAATGTTTCATGGCCTTCACTGCTTCCTAACTAGCTGGAAACAGTTTGATCATTGTGGCCATTTGGAGAGTAAACCAGTAGAGGGAAGTTCTCTCTCTCTCTCATTTGGAGAGTGAACCAGTAGAGGGAAGCTCGCTCTCTCTCACTCTTTCTCCCTCTCTCTCTCTCTCTCTCCTTGTTTCTGTAACTCTGTAACAACAAGACACAATGCAAGTTCAAAGTCTGATGTTTGAACTTAGTAATATGCAATCAGAGAGTTACATAATCAGAGAATTACAACAAACTCAAATAGCAAAGTTATTTTCTACACCATATATGAAAAAGTCATGAGAATAATTTATAATAAGCACAAGACTCCCTGATACAAAGGACTGAAGTTAGTCCTATCATTTTGTAGCTGGGAGCATGTTCTCCACATGTCTCCATTTTAGAAGCGAGTAAGCTGAGAGGCTGTCTCAGCAAATGACTGATACCTGGGGAGGAGGTGACAACTGGTGCACACTAAAATGAGAAGTAGAGTGTGTCCCAGTGCATGGGAGCACTGAGTCCTGGTGGCACAAATGCTGCCTTCACACAGTTTTCCAAAACCCTGGCCACCTGTGAGCCACAACATACAATGCTGAAGAACTCTGGGGGCATCTGGACTCTGCATTCTTTCTGAATGAACAGCTGTGGGGTTGTTCATGGCCATGACAGAAAGAGGCGACAGCGGGAGCCTGGTGCACTGACCTTGTCTCCAGCCACGGGAGGTAGGCAGAGCCTTCGCACTTGAGGGTGGTGAACGCCTGGCCAAACACATGCTGGGGGAATTTCTTCAGCTCAGCCACACTCATCCTTCGAAATCCCAGGACCACATCGGCCCAGAAGGGCACTTCCTCCACAGGGATGCTCCGAAATATCTGCCAACTTAAACACAACATGGAAAACCTTCCTGAAATGCTCGGACATGTCATACTTCTGGCCAACTCCAGGTGGCACTCTTGAAAGCATTTAGATTATTCATTTCTATGGACACAAGCAGAAAAGAGTCACACGTGTTTGCCTGGTACCAGCCACACCATTCCAACACAACCCAAGCGTAACATTGATCTGTATAAGCTTGGTTGTTATTGTTGCTATTTTAGGCATTTTGGGGACTCCGCCCACCCAGAAAAGCCCACATGAGTCCAGGCAGTGAGAAGCTACAGTGGCTGTGGACTGTTAGGTCTCATGGTTCTGTAGCTTGTTTCCCAAGTTCTCCAGGGCAAGCCTGAGTGCCCCTGCTAAACCCCCAACTCCTGATTGAGCTCTGCTCGCAGCACCCACTCAACAGTTGTGCAATGCTGACTTCTCACGTCTGATCAGGTCATCCCAAACATGAAATCGGGACAGATCTCCTCTCTTACCCAGATACCAGGTGGACGCCAGCGTCTGCTGCTTCTGCAGAGCTAGCGATGGCTGACAGGTGCTCGAACGTCTCCCGGAACCACTGCTTTTGCTTGTGGATAGGAGTTTCTGTAAGCAGGGAGAAAAGCACTGTGGGCAGACATGGAGAGCAAGCATGCTCCTAGCCACTGGGCCGACCAAGGAGGCTGGGAGCACCCTTCAGGTGAAGACCCATGTCGCAGTGGGGGATCGGCAGTGACCAGGTCTGCGGCGCTGGCATGGCTGCGCCTGAGTGCTCACTGACAAAATGAAAGAGTCGGCAACACAGTAAAGCTGCATAAGTCTCTTGTAAGCAAAATAGAGTGCGAAGAATAGAAGTTGAGGAGAGAAGAGAGGATAAAGGGTAGAGAAGGTGAGAGGGAGAGAAGGAAAGAAGGAGTAAAGGGAAGAGGTGAAAGAGGAGAGTGAGAGGAAGAGAGGGAGAAAGAAGACAAGGCTGAAGTAATTGACATTCCATTCTGGTAGGCTGCAGAAAGAGACAGAAACACGAGAAGGAAGCGAGTTAACCAAGGAGTAACTCAAAATCTACCTCTATAAAACTAAGGCTTTTTGTAGTCAGTCTTACAAACCATTTGTGGGTTTCAACTGCATACATCCACAACTCCAGTGAACACACCACACACGCACACACACACCACACACACACACACACACACACACACACATGGAAATGAGGAAGCAGAAGTCGCCAGCTGAGCCCTGTGGACCTCAAAGTGGCCTCGGCGCCTGCGCAGCGCTGGCTTCTCTTGCTCCTCTCCCACGCAGCAGGTGACAGAAGCAACGCTGCACATGCTCGCAGGTAGTATCTCCACGGGCTTGCCACAGGTCGCTTCTGCCCTGTGTCCCCCAGCGGGGTGGGCCTCCGTGCTGTCCGCCGGCGGGAGGAACGCTCTGCCAGCCCTACTTCTGGGAGCCTCGGAGACTCCTCGGGGCCAGGGACCAGCGGGGATCCGCGCTGACCCTCAGCCTTCAGAAAAGGCGCTGAGCGCATACCCCAGAGGGGAGCCAGGCAGGACAAGGCCTCCCCAGCCCTCGCCCCTCGCCCCTCTCACCTGGAAAGGCGTGGGGGATGAGCACACCAGCCGCCACGTCGCTGGTGGTGTCGGGGCTGCGCTTGTCGGAGAGGACGGTGACAGAGCAGTGGGGCCGCAACGCCAAAAGGCACACGGCCGTGGAGAGTCCCGCCAGGCCAGCGCCGACTACTGCCACTCGGATCGTGTCCATGTTCCGGGCGGATGAAGGCAGCAGGTCCCCTCTGCGCTCCGGCAGCATGGGCAGGGAGGTGTGGTGGCCTCGCTGGGGTCAGCAGCTTCCAGAATCCTTCCAGGAAGGCGAGGAAATGGTCACCCCGTGAAGCGTGAAGCGCTGTCTTGCTACAGTCGACTGGAACCTGGACCAATGGGAGCATAAGTTTGCCTTGGGTCCAGAGGCAGGTGAGTAGGTGTGTACCGGGAGAAGAGATTTCTGCTGGCTCTGAGCCTTTGTATAAGCCATGGTCCTTGTGGGTACAGCCCTGGGAAAGGCTGGTAACAAAGGCCAGGTGTGACAAAGCAGTAGGGCTGTGGGTCCGGCTCCTGCAGGCAGCCAAGAAGCAGGTACCCAGTGATGTAGGTGTAGGCCAAGCTCTGTTTGCACGTAGCCCCGTTGGCAGCAGAATGACCCAGAGTGTCATGGGCTGTCTCCCCTCCTACCACCTGTGCCCTCCCACTTTCTCCACCTCCTGTCCTCTGCAGGGTGCATGCTGCAGAATGAAAGCAGCCTGGGCCCCCCCCTCTGTACCCAGTGGGCTGCCTCTGCACCCACTCCTCTGCTAAGATGGATCAGAGGCATTCTCCCTTAGACGTTTTCTGTGGGAAATGAGACAACACCAAGGCTGTCTAGGAGGCAAGCATCCCAGAACCTGAGCTGAGCTGGGCATTCTGAAATTGCCACCCCATGTGGGAGTCAGAGTGCCCGAGGATCCAGCGGCCTCCTGCCCCCTTGCCCACTGAGCCCTGATCCACTGCCAGCTTCCCTACTGGTCTTTCCAAGTCTGCATGGCTCATGGGGGAAAGTACAGTTGTTGTCGATGGCCATCGCCATGTCTGTTGAACTTAAGTCCAGCACCTGGCTGGTTTATTTATAGACTAAGCCAGCCTTCAGATCTGGCTGTGTAAGGAGCCCTTCTCTGTCCAGAGAGCAGTGGCCCCAGGCACCAGGTCATGAGGTACAAAGTGCAGTTGTTCACACACAGCTCCACCTGCCCTCTGTGGACCCTGGAAACAGCAAAGGCGGGGCTTGGCTGTCAGTGGCCACTGCGTGCTCCCCCAGGTCAGCTCCAAAGGTCTCCTTTCTGCACTGCATACTTTAAGCGCTGCCCATGACGTTTGATGGGAGTTATTACCATTCTTAAATGGTCTGTGCACTTTCTCGGCTGTTTGCTAATGAGATTTGCATTGTCTAGGCTTGGCTGCCAAAGACAGGCAGCGCTGCCAGGGCAGAGCAGAGGGGAAGGAGGTTCCCCAGGCACAGAGCAGGACAGCATGGGGGGTGGGAGAGTCCTTCCCCGGGATCCCAGAGGAAGAAGGCAACCTTCTGTGTCCTTATGGATGTTACTGGTTCAGATCAGCCTCCCCTAACCAGCAACTTTTGCAGAGTAGCCAAAAATAAATTAGGTTGGAAAACAAAGTAATCTGTGTCGAAACTAACCAGTCAGAAGGGAGGAAAGAGCTGAGGCAGCAAAAGGGAGAATGCCTGTGGAACTGTGGTCTGTTGATCCCTGTTCCCAGTTCCACTAACTCAGCCCCCTAGATTCCCAGCGGTCCAACACAGCGACCCCTGAAGCCAAACCCCAAGAGGATCCAAGTACCTGTCTCTGCAAGGGTGGCCTTGGAACCCACAGTCGGCTCTGGCACCAAAGCTTGTTTTCCTTGAACTGCTTGGTCTGCTGCCTCCAGAGACAGAGGGAGAGCGAAACAGCTTCCCATTGGGGAAGCACGAAGGGCATGGCCTCCCCTCTGCCTCACCATTGGCCCACATGCCTGTGCCTCTGTGGCTCCTTCCCCTGGAGAAGCCAGCAAGTGACCTCATCCACTCAGCTCCAGGGAGCTGTGTCCCTGCCAAGCCCTCAGGAGCGTGTCCATCCACTCAGGGCCCGCCCTTCTCTGGTGTACAAGCCCTAGGACTCTCTGCCAGCCTGGGGTTTCATTTCGCCAGCTGATTTGTAAGTATGGCCAGTTGTGATGTCCCAACTTCCAGTAAGTCCCAGTCAGACACAAATATTGATTATGTTATTTGTCTGTCCATGGGGTGCCTGACTCTGCCAGTCAGCTAGGCAAACTGGGGAAAGGAGGGGGAATTACGGCTATGTGATATTGTTGATCACAAAGATGGTAAGTAGGGAAATTTTTTTTTTTAGATTTATTTTTATTATTTTTTCATTGGAAAGGCGGATATACAGAGAGGTGAGACAGAGAGGAAGATCTTTCGTCCGATGATTCACTCCCCAAGTGAGCGCAACGGGCTGATACTATGCCGATCCAAAGCCAGGAGCCTCTTCCGGGTCTCCCACGCGGGTGCAGGGTCCCAAAGCTTTGGGCGGTCCTCGACTGCTTTCCCAGGCCACAGGCAGGAAGCTGGAAGGGAAGCGGGGCTGCCGGGATTAGAACCAGCGCCCATATGGGATCCCGGGTGTGCAAGGCGAGGACCTTTAACCACTTGCGCCACCGCGCCGGGCCCGGGAAATTTTTTCAAGAGAAAATGGAGGCTAGAAACTGAGTAGTCCTTCAACCCACATACTCACTAGGTGCCTTGTGGTCTTCATGATTGTTTGCATGGAAGCATTTTTTAAATTTAATGTTTAATACTCACTATAAAGATAAGGAATATAGACCCATGTGAGCCACTGGCTCGGATGGGGTTGGCCGAAAGAGGAGGAGGGGAAAAAATATTTCTGCCTTCCCTCCTTTGTCCCAGGCAGGAAGCAGGGAGGAGGAAGAGGGTGTGCTGCTCCTTGTTGTCAGACTACATTAGTGCCAGCAGACAGAATTAGTCTCGTGACACCACTGCAGAGTCCTTCATTGGTGGCTGGGAAGCAAGCAGACTGTTCTGAGGCTGGGTAAGATTGGTGTAGAATGGGAGAAGATGTGACTTCCTACTTGTGGCCCTAAGTGTAGCTGTCCTGGTTGTGACTAGTGAATGCATCCTTGTCACCAGCCAGGGCCTTTCCCTTAAGTGGCTATGTCCCCTGTGTCATCCTGATTGCTCTAGGATGTTGTTGACTTCATTGTTTAAGAGGTGACATACTCCGTCTACCCTCACAAAGACTCTTCCTTGTTTCCTGTGTATAACTTCTAAGACCTATTGGTTGGCCGTGTCTACCTCATAGTGTCCACAAGCTTAGTGCTCTCCATTGAACTTGGCCTGAAGTGTTGTGTCACTTTTCTTTTTATTTTGTTTTAATTTTTATTTTTAACATTGTTTACATAGTCGTGAGGGATGCACACCTATGTGGACCTCCAATTAGGGTGGGGGAAGGTCTAGGTATGGAGGAAGGTAGATGGGACAAATGTTTCCGTTTTTTCCCCTGTGTCCCCAGTGGGATAGGGAGAAGGGATTTCTCCTTGCTGTCAAACAGCATCAGCTCCTGGGGATGGAGGACAGACCCCGACGTGGGGAAGTGTTCTGAGGGTATTACTTGAGTTATTTTGATAGTTCTGAGATGTTGTCAGTTTCATTGCACCAGGGTGAAAAAATCTTTTTAAAGTCTCTTGGCTGACCTAGTCCACCTTAGTGCATCCCCAGGCCCAGAAACATGTTGCAAAGCTTGACCAGGAGAGTGGTCCAACCTGTTCTGCTTTCCCACTTCTGACAAGGCACTTGACATCCTCTGTGATCATGTCCCCCGTGTACATCTGGGCATGCTGTCCACTGCACAGGCATCAGCAACTGAGGCCCAATCCCAACATATGCAGACCACATACATTGTGATTTTTCCTATGGCCAAGGTTTGAGTCCAGCAGTCTAGAGGGAGAGTCCCCCCTCCCCAAGAAGCCTTACCTGAGGTGACCTCAGACTTGACTCATGTGTGCAACCAGTGCAGGGTCAGGTTAGGTCCATCATCTACACCAGCCAACAAGTAGCCAGTGGATGCAGCCTCCTGAACAGTTCTGCCCTCAGCCCCACCTCTCACACTAGCTGACAGGTTCTGCAGCCTAACACAGCCCAGCCTGCCACAGGCCTGGTCTTCATGCACGCCAATGGTGCTTTTATGTTCCCCAGTGGGAGCAGGAGCTTCCCAAATTTTCCCTACCAGGCCCACTTCAAATCTCAGGTCTTGGACATGCTGGTGGATGTTATAGCCCTATCTAAGATAGCTTACTTCCAATCTCGGAATTTACCAGCAGGTGCAGCAGCCTGGCTCAGCCTGGCCTGCCCCCAGTCCCAGCTCTTGCTGGTGGGTACAGCAGTCTAGCCCAGCTTGGTCTGCCCCCAATTCTAGCCCACATATGTGCCAATGGGTGCTACAGCCTGGCATGGCCTGGCCTGCCTCCAGCCTTGGCTACATTCCCAGCAGTAGGTCTAGCAAGGAAGTTCCCCAAGTTCTCCTACTAGGCCTATTTCCAGTCCCGGATCTTATATGTGCAGTGGGTCTGTGGCCCAGCCTGACATGGCCTGCCTACTGGCACTCACCAATGGGCACTGCGGCCTAGCCTGACTGGCCCACACACATTCCAGCTGTCATTGGTGGATGTAGCAGCCTTACAACCTGGATCAGTTCCAGACCTGGCTCTCATGTGACCCAGCAGGTGTCACAGTCTAACCTGGCCTGTCCCACACTCATTTTGGCTCTCACAAGTGCCAGGAAGTGCTGGAGCCTGGCCTAGCTTGACCTGCCCCAGACCCAGCCCACATGCATGCCAGTGGGTGCTGCAGCTTTGCCCAGCCTGTCCAGCTCCCAACCCCAGTTCTTGCATTCAACAATGGAAGCTGCATCTTAGCAGGGGAGCCCCCAAAGTTCTCCTACAAGGCCTGATGCCAGCCTGGATCTTGTGCATGCAGACAGATGTTTCCACACAACTTGCCATGGTTTACCTGCAGTCTCAACTCCTGCTGATAGGTGTTGCAGCCTAGCCCAGCAGGCAATGGCCCACACCCTGTCCTGGCTCTCATGCATGCCAGCAGGCATTTCAGCATGACCCAGCCTGACCTCCTCCCAGCCCCAGCTCCTACAAGTCTCAAGTGAGTTCCACAGTTCAACATGCCTGGACCCATGAATAGCCCTAGCTCTTACACAAATCGGTGAGTGCTACGGTCCCACAGAAGTAAGCCCATGGATGCCCTATGGAAACTGTTCCCAGATCCAGTTCTTTTGCATTCTGGTGCATGCTGCGACCTAATCTCACATGGCCCACCCCCTGTTCTGACGCTAGCAGGTAGACTACATGGTGCACCCCAGCCAGGTATGCGAGTACCATCAGGTGGCAGGTGGTGCTACTTAGCCCAACCCAGGTCCCCCATATAGGCAAGTGCCTCGACCTGACCCAGACATGTCCTCTAGTCTCCCTCCTCTAAATCACTCTGTCTCAGCTCCCTCACCTACTTGCATGTAGAGGGGCCCAGTCTGCGGAAGCCCCTACAAGTCTTTCCTCCCTTGTCAAACGTGCCCTCGGCCACTCCCACTCTAACACATCCCTAGACCTCCTTCCCTGGGCAATCTATAGCCCCCCTACTTGGGGGTCAGAGGGTGATGTGCCCCTGTGCCCCTGTCCTACATTATCCACCTTTCCCACATACCTTTTTTTCTTTAAGATTTAATTTTTTTTAATTAGAAAGTCAGATATACAGAGAGAAGGAGAGACAGAAAGGAAGATCTTCCATCCAATGATTCATTCCCCAAGTGATCAAGCAATAGCCAGAGCTGAGCCAATCCAAAGCTAGGAGCTAGGAGCCTTGAGCCTCTTCCAGGTCTCCCACGCGGGTGCAGGATCCCAAGGCTTCCTCTCCTTCCTCTCCTGCTTTCCCAGGCCACAAGCAGGGAGCTGGATGGAAAACAGTGCTGCTGGGATTAGAACCGGAGCCCATATGGGATCCCAGTGCATGCAAGGCAAGGACTTTAGCTGCTAGGCTACCACACCAGGCCCTCCCACATACCTTTTAAAAACAAATTGACTAAAATAAGCAATTATGCCGGCATTCTGATATAGTCAGCACAGAGTTGGCATTAACCAGGCCCAGAATGCCGGCCAACTGTTAGCTGTTTTTCTCCCAGCAATATAACACTTGACAATGTAAAGGCAACCTAGGCAGATTATTTGCTTGTCTTTCTACCCTTTGAAGAGGTAACCTAAGTCTCATTTTGGGTAAGAAGAGTCGATTATCTTGTCTTTCATGAGCATCTGGCATGTTCTTCATCCTGTACAGGAGTCAGCAAAGGGGTGGCCCAGCCTTAAAACATGTGCTTTTCATAGGATGGAAAGAAAAGCAAGGACTAGTTCAACATACAATATCAGTGCAATGCATCCTCTGCCGAGGGAACAAAACTTCACAATCATTTCAATCTTTGCAGAAAAGGAACTTGTAAAGTCCAATATCCATTCACGATGGAAACACCTAATAAACACATAAGGGAAGCTTTTCAATGTGATAAGGGCTGTCTCTAGGATAAAGTCTTGGACTTACATCTGCACCAATGATGAAAGATTCAACAGTTAACCTCTCAGAACAGAGAAAGGGCAAGAATGGCTGCCGTCACCTCTTCTAGTTCATGTTGTACCAGAGGTAAGAGATAAAAGCAAATCCATGGGGCAGCCTGTGGCCGTGGTCAGCATGCTGCATGGGACACCCCACAGGAATGTGTAGGTTTGAGTTCTGGCTCTACTTCTGGTCCCAGCTTCCCACTGGTGTCTGTCCTGGAAAGTAGCTGTGATGACTGCTGTATTTAAGGCTCTGGATCCCACATGGGAGACTTAGATTAAGCGCTAAACCCTGGCTTCTGCAGGCATTTGGGGAATACACCAGCCGATGGAGGATCCCGATCTATCTGACAACCCCGCCCTCCAAAAAAAAAAAAAGGCATTGGAAAGGATTACATAAAACGATTTTCAGTTGACATGATCCTATACACCAAAAATTCTAGATAACACACACACATTATTAGAGCTAGTAAGTGATTTCAGCAACAATGTGGAGTACACACTTAACACCTACGAGTCACTTCTGTCCTCACACACTAGCAGTGGCCAGAGGGAAGAGTTGGATGAGGGGCCGAGACTCCCAAAGTGACATGGACAGCCCTGGGACCAAAATGGGCACTACCTTCTCACACATAGCGCGGGACTGGTGCTCCGGCTCTGTGGGCCAGCCTCAGGACCTTATTTCTGCCAAGTTACTGCCCAGGCCTGCCCCCGGGGAAGGTAGCACCTGCCGGTAGGTAAAGTACAGCGTGCGAGGCTCTGCCCAGGACTCCTAGGATGCCCTGACTCCTAACCCCACTCTGCTGCCGGATGGTTGGTGGCGAGGCCCGCACATCCAATTGTCAGTTTATCTCTAAGGGTCGCAGAGAATTCTGACGCCCGTTACCAGCCCCAGCGGCAGGGGCGCATCCGCTAACGTTCTGGGCCGGGGCTTGGGCATTTGCACCAAGGAGTGTTGAGCGCTTCAAGCAGGCCAAGGTCAAGGGTCTGAGCGAGTAGCAGCGGGTCTGCGGTGCGGTTATGCATGCGATGCAGACTCTGCTGATCACATTCGCAGAGAAGGCACCTAGGTGGCTACAGAAGGCAGAAGTTCAGGTGCCCCTGAAGGAACCGAGCCCCGCCACTTTCGCCGCTAACACGGAACCGCTGGAGGCTGGGTCCCTGGACATGGTGGGCACGGAGTAAGGCTGGTGGGCAGGACGTGGGGTCTGCAACCTCGGGTCGTTGGTGAGATTGTCGCTTCGGCGTGACTGCACCATGAAGTACCCAGGCGTGGAGCTGATTTTTGACCATGTTGGACACTTTGGCAGGTAGGGACCTTCCCAGAGCTGGAGGAGGCGGTTGGCCGCAGCGGGGGTCCACGGGAGCCGCAGCCGGTAGTCTTCTGAGCCAGGCAGGGCCCATGGGGAGAGCAGCCCCACCTTTCTGATTCCCTCAACAGCTCCCCTGCCTAACCGCTGCCTGTAGGGTTCCCCTGTGCCTGGCAGGGACTTTTGGGAGCAACCGTTGGTCCCAGTGGTTGCTATTTATGGGAGGGGGCAGGTGCTGGGTGCTTTATTGTCACTCTTTATCTGCTGTGCTCAGGGGTTGAGCAAGGCACAAGTTCAGATCCTTATTTGAAATACTGAGAAACTGAGGCTGGCTGTTTGGTTAAGGACCCAAGGTGGAGAGGTGTTAGGTGATCTTGGAGGCCGCTCCAGAGAAGGCGATGATTCCTCATAATGAAGCCTTGAGCAGGAGGGATGCGAGGCAGGTGGCTCGAGATCCAAGAGCTTCCTCCTCATGCCCACGTTAAGATAGTTGTTTTTGTGCAGGGCTCTGAAGAAACTGTATGTCGCCACCCTTCCTGGTTGCTCTCACCCTGTGAGATCTTTCACAGATGAGAAATCAGGATTTTTCTACCTAGGACATAGAAACAGCAGAGTAGAAATGGATGCTGCTTAGTGTCCGCTGGCCATCACAGCTTGTGGTATTTCCCATCCATCTGCTGAGCCCGGATGACAAGCCAAGACTCTGCCTGGTCCTGTTTGTGTTGTCTCATTCTGTCCTTGTGGAGGCAGAAGAGCTCAGGGATTCCAACACTGGCTGTGAAGCTGGATGTCTGAGTTCAGACCTGGCTCGGTCATGACTGAGGGTAATATCACACCTGTTAATAAGTACCAGTAGTAGAAATATTTGTTTTGTGAATTCCACACACTCTCTCTGATCCTCACAGTAGTTTACATAATTATAGTGGTTGAGCTTAGATATTGAATCAGAGAGATTCTTTAGCAATGTGTCCCTATCCAGGAACTGTCCAGGGCAAGATCTGCTCCTCGGGGTCCTCCAAGGTGAGACAGAAAGGCTATCCAGCACTCCCATTGTCTCCACCATGGTGGAAAAAGGTGTGGGTGGCATTTGGGAGACAACACTTAGCCGGCCACTGTAATGCATCTCAAAGTGTTGCCATGTGGAAAGCTCTTGGTAAGTCTGGCCGTTTCTGCTCCCTGAGTCCCCTCACTGAAGGGCAAGGTTGGCTTATAGGGAGAGAATGGGCAAGAAGTTAATACCTTGTGTAGAAGGTGAGAATGTTGTGGCTTTCACCTGGAACCCTTTTTATTCTCCAGTTTTTGCTTTGATTTGGCCTCTTAATTGATGAAAAACAGAAAGGGAGACTTTAATGTGGATTATCTTATGTTCTTTCTTTTTTTAAAAAAAGATTTTTTTATTTATTATTGCAAAGTCAGATATACAGAGAGGAGGAAAGACAGAGAGAAAGATCTTCCGTCCGATGATTCACTCCTCAAGTGACCGCAACGGCCAGTGCTGCACTGATCCGAAGCCAGGAACCAGGAACCTTTTCCAGGTTTCCCACGCGGGTGCAGGGTCCCAAGGCTTTTGGCCGTCCTCGACTGCCTTCCCAGGCCACAAGCTGGGAGCTGGATGGGAAGTGGAGCTGCCAGGATTAGAACCGGCGCCCATACAGGATCCCGGCGTGTTCAAAGCAAGGACTTTAGCCACTAGGCCACGCCGCCAAGTCGTTATCTTATATTCTCTTAAGGAAAGGAAGGCAGAATACCTGGGAGATGAATCAAATCTCTGGTTTGTGTGGGTGACAGATTCGGGACAAACCTGGGGCTTAGATGTTGACTTCAGCTTAAGGGTGCTACTGGAGTCGGAGTCCATGGCAAGGCTTGGGGAGTGAGAGAGGTGAACTGGCAGGCAGAGAGAACAGTGCCAGCTCTCCAGCATGAGGCAGGGGTGGGGAGCTGCTCCAGTGGTGAGACATGCTGGAAAATATCCTACATGCCTCAGGTATGTGTATTAAAAAGATAATTATTATTTATTTTTATTGGAAAGGCAGATTTACACAGAGAGAAGAGTGACAGAGAAATAACCTGCTAATTCACTCCTCAAATGGCCACCAACAACCAAGGTTGGGTTGGTCCCAAGCCAAGAGTTTCTTCCAGGTCTCCCCACTGGGTATAGAAATGCAAAGACTTGGACCAGCCTCCACTGCTTTCCTTGGCCATAAGCAGGGATCTGTAAGAGCTGAACCAGAATTGATGCACAAAGCTGGCCCTGACATTTATCTTTTTTTAAAAAGATTCATTTTATTTTTATTGGAAAATTAGATATACAGAGAGGAAGATATTTTGTCCGTTGATTCACTCTCCAAGTGATTGCAATGGCCAGAGCTGCGCCAACCTAAAACCAGGAGCCCGTAGCCTCTTCCAGGTCTCCCACACGGGTGCAAGGTCCCAAGGCTTTGGGCCTTCCTCTTCTGTTTTCCCAGGCCACAAGCAGGGAGCTGGATGGGAAGTGGAGCTGCCAGGATTAGAACTGGTGCCCATATGGGATCCTGGTGTGTGCAAAGCAAGGACTTTAGCCACTAAGATACCACACCAGGCCCCATTTATCTTTTTAAATTGGAAGTAAATTTCATTTTTTAATTTTCATTTTTTAATAAGTTTAGATGTTCTGAACAGTTGCCAAGATGGATGATAGAGTTCCCATGAGCTTCCCTCATGTTTCCTCCTTTGTTGGGACCTTATATCATCACAATGTGTTTGTGCAAAGCTGGAAACTGGTGTTAGTACATTGGAGCTAATCACACTGCACACCTCATCAGGATTTCACCTATTTCCCCATGGCAGTACCCAATCCAGAGCATCACCATGGTTTAGCTGTCGCAGTCACATGGGTCCCTCTGATCCTTGGCAACTTCTCAATCTCCCAGAGAAAGGATTGGGTAGAGACCTTGTGTGTAGAATGACTCCTTATTTGGGGTTAGTTTCTCATGATTAAGCTAGGATCATGGCTTTGGGAAAGAAAAACCACAAAGGTGATGTATCCTTCTTGTCCTATGTCCCGGAAGCAAGGAACCGGTACCTACCCAACATCATGGAAATACCATCCATTGTCACTGGGTCAGACAACGATGGGTGTTGGTGGGGCTTCCCCGCTCCAAGTTACTGTCCCTCCCCACCCCTTGCTTCTGTTACTCTGCTCTTTAGAAATGGGTCGCTGAGATAGGCACACGCTCAAGGAGGAAAGTATGGGACCTAAACTCCGCTTCCTAGGGAGACATAGCCAGTCAGTGATGGCAGTTCTACTGTCCAAAGATTGGTTTCTTATTTATATTTGTACTTGTTCAATCATTTATATCAGTCCCATGTGTTTGTCTGGGTCCTCCAGAGAAATTGGCAGGATCCATACAGACACACATGCACATACAAGACATATACATGCAAAGCACATACATGCACATATGTGGTCTTCCCTCCATATCTGTGAGGAAATTGGTTTCAGGACCTACAGAGGAAATGAAAGACTGCAAATACTCAAGTCTAATATAAAATGGTGTATTTGCCTATAAGCACATCTTCCCATGTACTTAACTCAAGATTTATTACAGCTAATACAATGTAAATACTATGTAGCTAGGTATTTTGCTGTGTTGCTTAGTGAATGATGATATGAAAAAGTCTATACATATTTGGTATAGACACAATTACTTGGCAGGGAGAGAAGGATATTTTCTTTTTTTTTTTAAGATTTATTTTATTTTTATTGGAAAGGCAGATATACAGAGAAGAGAGACAGAGAGGAAGATCTTCCCTCCGATGATTCACTCCCCAAGTGAGTGCAACGGCCAGTGCTGAGCCAATCCGAAGCCAGGAGCCTCTTCTGGGTCTCCCATGTGGGTGCAGGGTCCCAAAGCTTTGGGCCGTCCTCGGCTGCTTTCCCAGGCCACAGGAAGGGAGCTGGATGGGAAGTAGGGCCGCCAGGATTAGAATCGGCGCCCATATGGGATCCCGGGCATGCAAGGCGAGGACCTTAACCACTGCACCATCGCACTGGGCCCAAGAGAAAGATATTTTCAACCTGTGGTTGGTTGAACCCACAGATGCACATTTCATGATGAACATGGAAAGCTGCTTCTGTGTGTTTGTGTGTGTGTGTGTGTGTGTGTGTGTGTGTGTGTGTGACAGAGATTTATTGTAGGATTGGCTCACATTGCTGTGGAGGCAAAGTATTCCATAATGAAATGCTTATAAGGAGGAGAGCAAGGAATTCCAGGTAGGTGGTTCAGTCCCCAGAACAGGGCCTGAGAACTGATGGATTGATGGTGGATGTTGGATCTCGGAGTGCTTATGGATGGGTTAGTTTAAACAGAGAGAACAGGTTTGTCCTTTCCAAGTCTCTTTGCTCAACTCAGGCTTCTCCAGGGATGATGTCCACTTCCATTGGTGAGGATGATCTTCGCTACCTAGCCTGCTGATTGAAACCTGGTCTCTTTGGGTGATAGACACCCAGAAAGGATGTGTCACCAGTTTCTGGCCTCCCTGAAAGTATACACACTGACATATCAAATGGACCATCACTACACAGTTTCTTGTATTTATTTTATACTTTTGGGGGGAGAGCAAGTGAGTAATATTATACTAATAGGTCTGTTGCTCAAATAATTTCAGTTTTGGCCACTGGGAGCGCTTTGAGGGTGGCTTCTTATGTTCTTTTGCTACATCCTCACCCTTTTGTTTTTGGGAGGCACAGTCTTACTTTCTGACACTTTTAAATTTTCTATGTCTCCATATATTCTCCCTGTACTGGTCTTAAAATGAGCCATTTTGGGCTAACAGACATATAAAAAGATGCTCAGGTTCCCTAGCTGTCAAGGAGATACAAATGAAAAACACATTGAGGTACCACTTAATTCCAGTGAGACCGACCTACATTTAGAACTCAACTAACAACACCTGCTGGCATGGATGTGAGGAAAAAGGCACCCTCCTTCACTGCTGGTGGGAGTGTAGGCTAGTACAACCACTGTGAAAATCAATATGGAGAGTTCTTGGAGACTTGCAAATAAATCTGTCATATGACCCAGCTATCCCGCTTCTAAGAATATACCCAAAATGAATGAAGCCTGCATATGAGAAGGGGATCTGTAATCCTATATCCTACAATAGCAAAGACATGGGAACAAACTAGATATGCGTCCAAAGAAGAGTGGTTAAAGAAATTGTGGTACATCTACTCTATAGAATATTAATCAGCTATTAAGAAGAATGAAATTATAGCATTTGCAACTAGATGGTCCCAACTAGAGGCCATTATGCTCAGTGAAATGAGTCAAGCCCAAAAGAATAAATACCAAATGTTTTCTCTAATATAAGGAAACCACCATGCGAACTGTAACTTCAGTAACCTATTCCATACCATTTTTTTGTTTTGTTTTGTTTTTATTTTTGTTTCTGTTTTTGCTGCATCCCATGGTTCTTTTATGTTTTTCATCTTCCAAATACTTTCATTTCTCTTGTCAAATTCATCGCTGGCTCATGAATTACATGGTGGCATCATTTTACCCATGAGACTTTTGTGTTTTCTCTTTTATCATCCATGTGTTGGTTAATTAGTGGTGCATTTTTCATGGTGCTGTAATTTTGTTGTTGTTGTTGCTGCTGTCGTTCTAATTCATACCGCCTCTTGATCTTACTGCATGGCTTCTCATTTGTGGGAATGTGTGGTGATGGAGTAATAGAGACTACCATATCCAGATGTGGGGAAACAAAGCAATATGCTTCCAATCTCTGCTTCCAAATCGAAGATGGATTCCCAGTGAAACTGTTGGAAATGTGTAGACAATAGGATGCTAGACTGTCTGACATTGTCTGTACCAGCAATGTTGGAGCACACTTAAATAACAGACTGATGGAATTATGACTCCTTACGAAGGACTACCCTGTTGTAGCAACATGGGGAAAATCTGTAGGGGGTGGGGTATGGGGGGGATCTCAATCTATACAAAATTGTGCCATAAAATTCAAAAATTCAAAATAAAAATTTGACATTAAAAATGTGCCTTTTTTTTCCTTTTTAGTGGGTAGTGATGTTTAAAAACAAAGCTTTGGATAATGGTCATAGCAGTTACTGTCAGGCTGTCATTGCTTCTAGGTGTCTTAATAGATGCAACTAGATAAATTTATGCACACATGCTAGCCCAAAGTTATAAACCTATTTATAGTCATTTCTGTATTTGCCCATCTGTGTATGAAGCTAAGCTCAATGTAATAGAGAACCTTCATATCTTCTTATGTTCTTTTCTTCTTTTTTTAAGCCTCTAGATAGAATAACCAGCTTTTCTTCTCTTTGCAGATTCCAGAGGTTCATCTATTTTGTATGTGCATTCCAGAGCATGTCATGTGGTATCCATTACGTGGCTTCCATGTTACTGGTAATCTCCCAGGAGGAGACCTGCAAGCCCCCAAGCAACATAACTAAATTTGCCAACCTCAACGCTTCTGCTGCAAAGCTGGAGGATCTTTGGGCCTTCATGTCCCCAGACCATAAGAAACCCATCACAGTGGAACTGCAGAATGGTGAGGCATGGGACCTCTCAAAGTGCAATCAAGTCCACAGGGACAACAAGTCACAGCATGCAGAGAACAGCAGCCATGACTTTTCTTGCCCAGAAGGCTACATGTCTGACCGAAGGCAATTTAATGGCACCATGAAACTGATCTGTAACCAGCAGATATTCACTCGTATGCTCCAGCCATTTTTTATGTTTGGAGTCCTACTGGGGGCAATCATCTTTGGATACTTTTGTGACAAGTAAGATGAGATATTAAGGACTGTTTTGGCAATGGGTACAGGTCATTTTCCTACCTGATTTTCCTAGCCCACAGGGAGTTAAATCCACAACTCAGTCATTTTCATGCCGCCCATCTTAATCCCACCAATCTATTGATCCATTGCTTAGATGTGAAACAGCATAGAGGTAGGAGAATAGGTCCTGGAAATAGTCTGCCTGGGTTCAAATTCTGGTTCTGCCACTTATTGTGGAAATGCCCTTGTCTATGTTTCAGGCTCCTTACTTACAAGCTGGTGATGAAAATGGTATCGCCTTATATGTCACGTAAGAAATGCCCTGTGTCTATAACCACTCAGCAGTTACTGATACGACTCTGAACTTTTCCCCCTTAAAATAGGCTGTTCTAGAGGGTTAACCTGATTCTAAATAGTCAATCATGTTATCATGGTTTTAATCTGTCACCTGTCCTGGTGCTTCCAAAATAAAACACCCCAGACTGGGTGATTTACAAACACTAGAACTTTCTTTCTCACACAGTAGGAGGCTGAGCAGCTCAAGACAAGTTCACAGGAGTGGTGACTGTCAAGCACTGTTCTCTTTTGCCAGGATGGTACCTCATCGTGCCTTGTCGCTGCAGCCTGGGAGGGGACGCCTGTGATGTCCTTCACCCTGGAGCTCTGTGATCAGGGTGCGATTCCATCCTTTACTTCATGGCCTCCCAAAGATCACATCTCTTGAAATCAGTGCAGTGGGGGCCTGGCTCAATGACTCAGTGGCTCAACCCTCACCTTGCAAGTGCCAAAATCTTTTCTTTATGTTTTACTTTTCAAAGTTTCGCTAAGATTTTTCTGATCCTGTCTACAGGAGTTCTTCGTGCTTCCTGTACTATAGGTGTCTACTTTCTCCAAATTAAGGACATTTTCTGCTAAGGTGTCACCAGAAAAGTCCTCTAGTCCATTCTCTCTTTCCACATCTCCTTGAAGCTATTTAATAGTACCCATAAATCTTGAACAGTATTTTCAGTTTCTGTGAGGGATTTCCAAGAATTTGTCTTATAGCTCCTTTTGCCACAGAGTCTGTTTTTACAACTTCCTAGTGCATTTAAAAACAAAAGCTTATTTAATGCTTCATTTCTGATATCTCAGTTTGATCTCTTTTCCGTATCTACCTCTCGGCAGAATCGCTCATTTATGTCATGTGTGGATTTTACTCGTGTATTTGTTTCTCTGTGATTTTTGAGTAATCTCACAATCGTGCTTTTGAATTCCTTTTCAGGCCTCTCACTAATCTCTTTGTCTTCATTCTAACATTGAAGTGTTGCTATGTTCCCATAGCCGTAGCATGCAGGGCTCCCACAGTTACAGGGAACAGGGAAACACTCAAAGCCCCATGGGCCTCCCGCATCTGTGGGGAGAGCTGCAGCATGAGCCGGTTGCCTGCCAGACAATTTGGTTGGTATTCAGCATTGGTGATTCAAATTTGGACAATTTGATGGGTTGAAGGAAGGGCAGTACTTTGTAGGCCTTTATGGGCTCCCTGCCCCCACCAAACCTCTAGCCAAGGCTCAACATCAGTGGGGACCACAGATTTATTCATCTGATAAATTCCCCCAGATATCAGCAGGAAGAGCAGAGGTGATTCTGTTGTGCCGGTTTTTGAAACCCCCAGATAATCATCAAGTCTGAAGTCGGTGCTGAGGCAAAAAGGTGGTTTATTCAGGTTAGCCTAGGTCTCCCAGCCACCTCCCCCAGCCCAGCATGGCAGGGCGGGGGAGGGGCAGCTGCAGCCGAGGATGCAAGGATCCACAAGGAGGACAAAAGACGCGCGAGCCACCAGAGCCAAAAAAGAGCCCCCCGAGCCCAAGCCCCCCAGTTCTTATACATCTTAGGCTATTAATTATACAGTCATGACTTAGCAGGCTTCTATTGGTGGGTTTGAAACAAGCAACTTTCAAAAAGTACAAATCGACGAGCTATTGGGCTGTGAATTTTATCAAACACCAGGTACCTCCTTCCTGAGGAGTGGTCTGCCTACGTGACCTGCCAGGTGTCCTGCCGGGTGTCACGTAGACTATCAGGCCTGAGGTTCACACAGCCCCCAGCCAAGCCATTAAGGCAGAATCACAAAAGGCAGAAAACGCCTAGGTTCTTCAATTCCACCACTCTGTTCCAAGTCAAGCAGATGCTCCCGTGTTTGGAATGCACAAGTAAAGGAGCGGCTGCCTTCTCCCATCCCCCGTCCCCCATGCCTAAGATGTATAAAACCCCAGGGCCTTATGCCCCAGGCGACAGTTTTCCTCACACTGTCACCTGGCCATGTGGAAGCGGTCCCAGGCTATTACCTGCCAGGGAAGGATCTGTCAGACTCTCCCCTCTGACTAATAAAATCCTTTGCCTCGACTAAAAGCCTTTCTTTCTCTCTCTCAAGCTAATCTGAGCGTCTCCAAACCAAATTGTTCTTTTTGTCTTAAAACTGCTGCTTACTAGACAACCAGCATGGAGAAAATATTTGTAAATCAGACATGTGGTGAAAGATTATGATCCAGAATATGTAAGGAACTCTTACAGCGTAACGTTAAAAAGGAGAGAGAGAGAGATTGACCAATTAAAGGTGGACAGAGGACTGGGACAGTTATTTCTCTGAAGAATAAACACAGATGCCCAATAAACACTTGAAATAATACCCATATCCTTAATTAACAGAGAAATGGAAATCTGATCCACAGTAGAGATGACTTCCCACCCCACTAGCATAGCCATAACCAAAATGACAATGAGGCAGGTGTTGCACAATAGGTTAAGCAGCCACTTGAGACACCCACATCCCATATCAGAGGGCCTAAGATTGAGTCCTGCCTCTGCTTCCAATCCAGCTTCCTGCTAAGGTGCCAGGGAAGCAACAGAAAATGGCTCAAGATACTTGAATTCTTGCTACCCATGTGAGAAACCTGGATAGAGCTCCTGTTTCCCGATTGTTGCAAGTGGACAGAAGAATGTGCTTCAACCCCTACCCCTGTCTCTGTCCCCTGCCCTTGTAGATGATAGATAGAGAGATAGAGAGATAGATAGATAGATAGATAGATAGATAGATAGATAGATAGATAGATATTCAAGAAGTCAGACACAAAAGACTACATACCGCTTGACTGGATTTGTATGCACAGTTAAGTACAAGAAAATCTGTAGAGACAAACTAGTTTATAGTGATTGTCAGGAACTGGAGGGAGCTGGAAACAGGGAGTGACAGCTCCTATGTACAGAATCTCTGCTCCAGGTGACAAATGGGTCCTTGAATTACAGGCTGATGACAAGTGCCAAATTTTGTAAATACATGAAAAGCCAACAAATTCTATATGCTCAAAGTGGAATTTTATGGCATTTGAATTTGTATCATAGTTTTCTCGATTTATCAAGAATAGTACTTGTTTTTTTGGGTTTGCTTGTTTATTTGTTTGTTTCAAAGAAACACATCTCTCAGTGATGAGATTATAAATCAGCACCTTGGCAGCAGGAACCCAAAGTTTAAAAGGCCCTGACAAGAGCTGTCAGAACCTCCAGAGGATGGTAGCAGGGGTCGGGGGGGAGATCCAGCTAGTCCCAGAGCCCAAATCCCAAGGGGAAAAAGGTACCTTCTCCCTCCTCTTGTCCATGGTCCCAGGCCATGCCTCATGCTCATCTCTGTGCACCCAGCAGCTTGGTTCCAGATCTCTGAAAGAAAGCTTAAATCAACTCATGATTTCCCCAAAAAAAATTGAATAAATGACAGTCAAGTGCACAGGCTGTTAAAAAAAAAATCAGGAGCATTCCCTTCTATGAAACACAGGTGCCCACATCCACTGTTTGAGCCAAACCTCGTCTCTGAGCTTCGTGGTTTTTGTTTTTCAGGAAGGGAAGGCAAGCAGCCATATGGTTTACAAACACAGGCACATTTCTCTTTGGGATCCTGGCCACATTCACCTTTAATTACTACATCTTCATGATTTCACGCTTCATTTTGGCCATGGTAAGTTCTCTCGCTGCTTTTTCATTCCACTGCAGTATTTCCAAAGTGAGCCCAAACTGTTTTGTTCATTTAGAGGACAGTCATGTGTTCACTGCAACGTGAGAGTCTTTCTGTGGAATGTGAATGCCTCACTTTCAGAGTGAAAATCATTAAATCAAAACACATTGCTGATCAGGCAGAAGCTCTCTGTGTTGGACTCTGCCTGGCACACAGCATATACATCCACGAGTCTGAAGGCAGGTTTTTGTTTGTTGTTTTAATTTCTTAACAATTGCATTGGTCTAGTTGGGAGCTATATACCCGGGGCAAGGAGACAGATAAGGTATGTTGTTAGAATAATTTGTGTAACATGCTTTAGAACCATGTTGAGAGCAGCAAGGGCATGGAATTGGAATACTAGCTTTGTCAGCTGTTGGCTTGTTACCTGATGGGCTTGAGCAAACATTATTCTCTGGGAACTGTCTCTGTAAACTGTCAAAAATTGTGTCTGTCTCACTGGGTTGTTGTCAGGATTCAGCAAGATGAAGCTTCAGCTCCTGCAGGATTGCGCCTGGCATGGGGCAGGCATGCATCACAGTGGCAGCTACGACAAGCAGTGGCCCGGCAAGCACAGAATATAGGTGAGGTTACCAGACAGGTCTCCCATCTCTTAAGCAGCAGCAGCAGTGAGGTTTGATGGAGTTCGCTGGGCAGGCATGGCATAGCATGGTTTTTGTCCAGTGTAGCGCAGGGCAGGCATAGAACACCTGCAGCAAGACAGGCCTGAGAGCCCCCAGGAAAGCCAAGGTTGCTCGTCTCAGTGGAAATCACTGCATCCCCACCCTCAGGGAACAACGTCGGGATTCCACTGTGGAGGCTTCACTAATGGCTAGAAAGGGCTCCTAGAAACCCACCCAGACAGCCAAAGCTTGGGAGGGTCCCTAACAAGCTTTAGAATGGAAGAGACTGCACTGTTAAAAACAGGCTAGTGCATACTTTCAGGAATATAAAGTGTTTCTAAGATAGAAGGTGGCAGCCATAAGTTCTGCTTGCCCTGAGACATGGCTTTGTTACCCAAGTGAACACAGACAGATCTTTCTGTGAGGCTGGTGGCTCCGCAGGGACACAGGTGCTGAAAGAATTTGACAGTCCTCTTGGAACCCGTGAGAGGATAATTCTTAAAAATACCTGTTTCAGACTTGTGAAATACCATGTATTGATTCGTGCAATCAAAAAAATGAAGCCAAATCCACAGAAGCACCTTGTGAGTGTAGCCATCATTTTGGGAGTCTCTGCTTTTGTTTTCCTGGGCAGAGTATATGTCCTGCAAATCTGAGTATTCAAAAGTCAGGAAGATTTATTTATTTGACACCTCTGTGAGCTGCCAACAGAGGGGAGTGCTAAGTAAACCGGACTCAGCAGCTTCCCTAACTCTGTCTTGCAATGGTAAGACAAGGTGTTGATCAGCCATCTTCCAAACTAAATACAGCTGCTGATCATGACAGGGGTCCCACTGCAGTCTGGAAGGTCATGAACTTCCATGTTCTGAAGGGTAAATGAAAGAAAACATCACATGTGACTGTCCTCAGATGAGAAAGAACCCAAGATTGTCTCTCTGGAGAAATGAGAAGGAGTGAGATGGATGGAAACTGATAGGGATGGTGGGCAGGGCGGTCATTAGGCAAATCCTACAGGATGATGAAGATATAACCCTGTCTCTTAAAGACTGTGTGAACCCTCAAAATGGTGCAGGAAGTATGCTGTGCTATTCTGGCCACTCTGTGGTAGTGGAGTCAGATACTGACATGAGGAATGGAGAGTTATCCATGGAGGTGATGGCTGTGAATGGATTGTGGGCACCCCTTAGAATTGTTTAGGCAATCTGAACACACCATGTGAATCCAGTTGAGGAACCAAGTAGAAGGAAGCAGTATACACTTAGGAGATATAATGATCGTTGAAAGACCTGACAGGCCATGATGTTACAGCTTCATTTCTCCAGGCAATTCACCAGAGCAGACGCTGTTCACACGCTTGGGTTGTTTGCCGTAATAGCCACTTGTGCTTGCCAAGTTACTTCTAGGATCTTGAGTGGAGCAGTCCTGAAGAATAGAATTCAATATTATTCGTAGGCTGCAGTGTTTTCTTTTAAGCCATGTTTATAGTATATGGGGCCCTAAAAATAATGTTAGAAACAGGTGGCAGAGGTCACTGAGAAAGCAAAAAGGGCTGTTCTCTCCTGAGAAAGAAAGATTAGGTTTGTGGGTGTGGCATGTATGATTGCCTCACTGTGTCATGATTTCTATGGAAAGGCAAGATAGAACTGTAATTAAGGGGTTGCCTCTTGGTATGGTCATGATGAAGTTGGATCATGAGGATAATGATAGGATTAGGATTCATTAATTCATTCTCCAATTAAGTTCTGGTTGTTGGGAACTAATCTTAACTAAATTAGTTAAGGTTAGCAGTACTCATGCTTCTATTATGGATAAAACTATTTGTGGGTTCTAGGCTACTAATATAATTTGGTTGGGAACAGGCTTGTTGGCTTGAATTTAGGAGACAGAATAAATTTTATGATATAAGACCATGGACAGTTATTAGAGTCATAGAACCTCTAGATTGCCACAGTAATTGAAGAATAGCTACCAATACCAGTTATCAATTGCTTTTGCCATAGAAATATTAAATCAACCACCAATAGAGTAGCCTGCATCCCCTACCTCCCCACTTCCTCCTGGAGTCAGATTGTGGAAATGTCCCCCTGACCAGCCTCACTGTGATTCTCTCATGCAAGGTGGAATTGAAAAGCTTATACATGAAGGGAGAATTACAAATACTCTTCAAAAAAAAATGGACCCAGCTATCCCTCTCCTAGGAATATACCCAAAAGAAATTAAAACTACATGAGAAGGGTATCTGTAATCCTATATTTACAGCAGCACAATCTACAATAGCAAAAACATGGAAGCAACCCAGATGCCCATCCAAAGAAGAATGACTAAAGAAACTGTGGTACATCTACTCCATGGATTATTATTCATCATCAAAAAAAATGAAATTATGCAATTTACAACTAGATGGTCCCAACTAGAGACTTTTATGCTCAGTGAAATAAGTAATCACAAAAAGAGAAATACCATGTATTCTCTCTAATGTAAGGAATCCATCATACAAATTGGAATGTGGAGTAAAGGAGACTACCATATTCAGAAGTGAAGACACAATGCAACATCCATTTCAAACAAAAGATGGACTCCCAATGAAAGTGTTGGATATACCTAGACAATGGGTTGATGAACTATCTGACATTGTCTGCATCAGCAATGTCGGGACACACTTACATAGCAGACTGATAGAATTGTAACTTCTTATGAAGAAGTGTGACATGATGGGAAAAATCAATCAAGATGGTGGAAATTGGGGGGAGGGGAATCCCGGCCTAGGCAGAATTGTACGATAAATTTCAAAAATTAAAATTAAAAAAGATCTATTTATTTTTATTGGAAATGCAGATCAGATTTATAGAAGGAGAGACAAAGAAAAAGATCTCCCATCCACTGATTCACTACACAAATGGCTACTATGGCCAGAGATGAACAAATCCAAAGCCGGAAGCCAGGAGCTTTCTCTGGATCTCCCACATGGGTGCAGAGTCCTAAGGCTTTGGACCGTCCTCTACTATTTTTCCAGGCCATAAACAGGGAGCTGGATGGGAAGTAGAGAAGCCAGGACACAAACCAGTGCCCATTCCAAATCCTGATGCTTGCAAAGCAAGGATTTAGTCATTGAGCCATCATACTGGACCCACAAATACTCCTTAAAAGCAAAGAATCCTACTAGCCTAATTCCTGCCAGCTCCACTTCCTATTTAGCTCCCTGCTGGTGACCTAGGAAAAGCAGAGAGGATGAACCAAGTACTGGGCCCATACCACCGAAGTGAGAGACCTAGATGCATCTGCTTGCTCCTGGCTCCATCCTGGTCACTGCAGCTATCTAAGGAAAGAACCAATGGATGGAAGATTCTCTCTCTCTCTCACACACACACACCCCTACATACATGCTTGTGCATGCACACAAATAACACACACACATACACTGTCTCACTCTTTGTAATTTTGCCTTTAACTTTTAATTGATCAGAATGATATTCTGCCAGCTCTGCCTTCAGACCAGAGATGGTCTCCCTAAGAAACCATTGAATTTATTTGGACAATAAGATGCTGGATTCTATGCTTGGTATATGCTTGCAATGTAAGAATCTTGACCAAATTTGAACTGTAATATTGCAACAAGGTGGAGGAATCCACCATGGGGGGAGGGTAGGGGGAGGGATTGGGGGAATCCCAGAGCCTATGAAACTGTGTCACATAATGCAATGTAATTAATAAATAAAAATAAAATAAAATTAAGGAAAGACATCTCCAAGAGCCAGCAATGCATGCAAATGAATGCAAATAAATACAAACTTCTATAAATTAAAAAAAACTTGCCTTTCAAATAAATGAATCTGTAAAAAAATTGATATTCACAAGGATAATGACATTATGAACCTTCAGGGGAGAACAATGAGTTTCAAATGATGAAGAAAGGCTTTTAGGTAGATGAGTGGTGCTCCAGAATAATTTTACAAAGACAAATGATTTATCTCATAAAAGTAAAATATGAAATAATTTTTTAGGAGGCATTCCAATTTGTTTAAATCCTCCCCACCCCCACCAAAATTCATCATCTGATTCATTCTTTGTTCCAAGAGTCACATATTATTATAACATCAAGTTTGTAAGATTAGAGATAGGCAAATGTTCAAAATGAAGTTCATTCCCAGCTTTTTTTTACTGTGGTAAAACACATGCGACATAAAACTTTCATCACAACCTTTTAAGGGCAGATAGGGATAGCCAGTGCTTTTATGTATAGAATTCAGTAATTTCGGTAATCAAAGGACATACAGTGGGTTTGTGTGTGTAACCCTATACATGCATACATCACCAGAGCCCTGTCACCCTGCAAAGGGGAAACCATGTCCATTAACAGTAAATAAGGGCCACATATGCAGTTAACCACATTTTCCTTGCTGGTTCATTTGCCAGCAGACACTGAGTCCATGATGTATTTAGGTGTTGTGAATAACACAAGTGTGTAAATATCTCTTGGAATCCTTGCTTCCAGTTCCTTGGGACATACCCAAAGTTAGAATTGCTAAGTTATGTGGTAATCCTATTTGTAAATTGTTCACCTGGCATGATAGCCTAGTGGCTAAATCCTTGCTTCGTAAATGCCAGGATCCCATGTGGGCACCAGTTCATGTCCAGCTGCTCCACTTCTCTTCCAGCTCCCTGCCAGTGGTCTGGGAAAGCAGTAAAGGTTGGCTTAAAGCCTTGGGACCCTGCACCCGCATGGGAGACCTGGAAGAAGCTCCTGACTCTGGGCCTTGCTTCTGCTCAGCTCTGGCTGTTCTGGCCATTTGTATAGTGAACCAGCAGATGGAAGAGCTTTCTGTCTCTTCTTCTTTGTATAAATCTGATCTGCCTTTCCAATAAGAATAAGTAAAGCTTTAAAACAAAGCAGAAGAATTTATAGAAAATATACCAACACACTGAGATCAAACAGCATCCTCTTGAATAAACAGTGGGTCATAGAAGAAATCAAAAAGGAAATAAAGGCAATGAACAAAGACAACATAACATACCAGAACTTATGGGATATAGAAAAAGCAATGTTAAAAGCAAGATTTTTAACAATTGGTGCCTACAATAAGAAATTGGAACGATATCAAATAAATAATCTAAGAATGCATCTCAAGAATCCTAAAAAATAACAATCCAAATCCAAAATTAGTAGGAGGAGAAAATAATGAAAAGTAGAAATGAAATAAGCAAAACTGAGACCCCCCCAAAATGATACAAAAGATCATTGAAATGAAGAGCTGGTGTTTTGAAGAAAAAAAAACACAAGATAAATACACAATTAGCCCAATTAGCCAAAAAAAAGTAGGGGAGAAGGCCAAAATTAATAAAGTCAGAGATGAAAAATGAGATGTTATAGCTGCTATTTCTGATACCACAGAAATAATAAAAATCATTACTACAGACAAATGTATGCTAACAAATTGGAAAATTCAGAAAAAATTGATACATTTCTGGACACATACAATCTACCAAAATTGAGTCACAGAGTTGGAAAATCTAAATAGACCAATCACCAACATGCAGATTGAATCAGTAATAAAGATTCTCCCAACAAAAAAAGCCTTGAAGCAGATGGCTTCACCACTGTCTTCTACCAGACTTTTAAAGAGGAGTTAATTCTAATTTTTCTCAAGCTATTCAAAACAGTTGAAAGAGGGGTAATTATCTCAAACTCCTTCTATGAGGCCAGAATCACCTTAATTCCAAAACCAGAAAAATATGCAACAAAGAGAACTACAACTCAATGTCCTTGATGAACATAGATGAAAAAAAATCCTCAAAAAAATAATAATAACACTAGCTAATTGAATTCAATAACACATCAGAAAGATCATTCACCCAGCTGAGTGGGACTTACCTCTTGTTTGCAGGGATGGTTCAGCACATGCAAATCGATAAATGTAATACATCATATTAACAAAGTGAATAATAAAAATCACATGATTATCTCAATAGAAACAGTGGAAACATTTGACAAAATAGAACAACTTTTAGTGTTACATAAAAAAAAAGCCTTAAGCAAATTGTATATCAAAGGAACATTTCTTAACTCAGTGAAAGCAAATATCATATGGGATGGAGAAAAGTTAGAATACTAAGATCTGAAACCAAACAAGGATGTTCAATTTCACCATTGATATTCAAAATAATTATGAAAGTTTTAGCCAGAGCAATCAGACAAGAAAAAGAAATCAAAGGGAGACAAATTGAAAAAGAAGTCAAATATCCCTATTTACTGATGATGTGATCCTATACATAAGGAAATCAAGACTCCATTGGGAGACTACTGAATCTCAGAAGAAAGTTTAGTAAAGTTACAGGATGCAAAACACACAAAAGTCAATAGTGTTTGTATAAACAAACAATGCTATGATTGAGAAACAACTTAGCTATAAACAATTTAAACACCTTGAAATAAATTTAATCAAGGATGTGAAAAATCACTACAGTAAAAAAGAAAAGTAGGCATGCCAAAAAATGAAGAAGCCTGCCTGTTTGTGAATTGGAAGAATTAGTATTGAAATGTCCATACCATTCAAAGCAGTTTACAAATCCAGTGTGATCCCATTCAAAATATCAAAAATGCTCTTCTCAGATCTAGAAAAAAATGATGCTAAAATTCTTTTGGAAATGCCAAATTTTTTTATTGTTAAAACAATATTAAGCAACAAAAACAAAGCCCGAGGCTGGACAGTAGCAAATTTCAGGACATACTACAGGATATTAATTAAAATATCTTGGTACTGTTACAAAAATAGACAACGTAGATCATTGGAACAGAATAGAAACCCCACAAATCAATCCATGCACTAATCTTTGACAAACAAACTAAAATTAGTTCCCAGAAAATGGACAGTCTCTTCAACAAGTGGTGCTGGGAAAAGCAAATCTACACATGCAGGAATATAAACCAAGACCCCGTTATACCTTATACAAAAACCAGCTCAAAGTGGATCACAGGTCTAAATCTATGACCTGATATCATCGAAGTGCGGTAAGAAAACATCAGGAAACTTGGTTGTGAAACACTGGCATTGGCAGCCTTCATGGAAAGGACGCCAGAAGAATAGGCAAGAAGAGCAAACACGAACAAATGGGATTGCATCACGCTAAGCTTCGCCGCTGCAAAGGTAAAGCTCTACAAAGCCAAGAGGCAACCAACAGAATGGAAGAAACTGTTTGCAAACCGTGCAACTGATAAAGAATCAATATCCAGAAGTGATAAAGACCTTGAGGAAATCAATCACAACAAACCAATGAGCCAATTAATAAATGGGAAAGCACAAAAAGAGGCATTTTTCACAGGGTAAAATTTAAAAAGCCAAAGACACATGAGAAGAAAATGCGTTCAGCATCCTAGCTAGCTGTCAGGAAAATGCAAATGAAATCTACAACGAGTTTCTGTCTCACTCCATAGAAAGACCACCACACAGAAATCAGAAAATATGAAATGCTGTCAAGAATGTGGGGGAAAGATGCTTGCCCCAATTCTCTGTCCGTGGGAATACAGATGAGCACAGTATGGGGATTCCTCAGACATCTGAAAAACAGACCTCGCACATAACCCAGCCATCCCACTCCTAGGAACTTGCCCAAATGACATGAAATAAGCGTAAGAGTTATCTTACTTCCATGTTTACAGAAGATCAGTCTGCAGAAGTTAAGACATGAAGTCAACCCACATGTCCAACGATTGATCCCTAGTGAAGAGAATGCAATGTATATATGCACAACAGAATACCACTGAGCCATAAGAATAAACTCCTGATTGGTTGGTTGGTTTGTTTGGCAACGAAATGGGTGCAATGGGAAACACTGTGTTAGCTATGTAAGTCAAACCCAAAAAGGCAAACACCATGGTTTCCCTTATCTGTTGCAGCCACTATACAGAGTGCCAAAAAAAAAAAAAAATTGTGGTCTATGAGAGAAACTGACATTGATTATGTCATTGCCTTTCTCTATATCCTTGAGGAACTGTGGGGCTTTTTTCCCTATATTTTTCTTGTTGTTGCTATTACTAAATTCCGTACCTAATGGAGGGTTAAGCCTGTGGGTATCTATGAAGTGAACCGAAAGGGTGTCATTGCAAAGAGGAAGGCTGGGAACTCTCACTGTAATCCTAAATCTGCATTATAAAATACATTATATTTATGTATCTCACCTAAATATAAAGTAACAAAAAGGATAAAAGAGATCAGGTGCATGACGCTGCACAGCCCTTGGAGACGTTTGCTTTGAGGGTTTGGGCGAGGGGAGGGAAAACAATGTGGCTTCCCTTTTTAGAGCAAAGTGGTTGCTGAGCTCAGTTCAGTAGAGGACTGTAGATGCGTTCCTCAGTTATAGCTGCCACAGCATGGCAGCTAGCACCTTCTCCCCACAGTGACTTGACAGGATGGCAGCTCCCTGCTGGCAGCCAGCTGCATAGATGCAGGCTGTGGCTGGCTGAGTGACCGCCTGGCTAGGGCAGAGTGTCCTGGGCGGTCTCTCCTCCTCACTGGCTGTCCTGCTGAATCTCCATTCAGTCACTTCACTGAAAGCTCCTGTCCGTCAGTCACCTAAGGACACGAACTTTCCTTGCTCTTGCTGATGTTTTTGCATGTTTGAAGTCACCCATTTAGTAATCGGGATTTCATGATTAGACCTCTTTTATACAGAAAAATTGGTATGTGCATTCACAGGGACCTGAGAAATAAGTCCACTCTATAATGGAACATTTAAATGTCACAAAAATCAGTGTATAACATGTGTGTGTGTGTGTGTTACCATTTGGGGTGGGGAGGGAGCAGAGAGACAAAAGGACCCGTTGAGGAAGGATGGCTGCGTGGGCTTCAGAGCTGTCTTGTGAATACGATGCAGACTTCAGAAACCAGTCCTGGCCCTGCTGGTTTTTGCTGCATGTGATTTTTCAGACGCCTCAGCAGCAGTCCATGTGACTACCAACAGACCCTCCCTACTTTGTGTTTCAGGTTACCAGTGGCTATTTCGTGGTGGGATTTGTCTATGTGACTGAATTCATTGGCAGGAAGTCTCGGACGTGGGCATCCATGAATTTACATAGCTTTTTTACGATTGGAGGGCTAATGGTGGCTTTGATGGGCTACTACGTCAAGACCTGGTGGGTTTATCAAGTTATCCTCTGCTTGGCGACTTTCCCCTGTATCCTGTGCTGTTGGATGTTCCCCGAGTCCCCGTTCTGGCTCATCTCAGAGAGAAAATACGAAGAAGCGCAAGAGCTAGTGGACATGATGGCCATGTGGAACCGCACCGGCACCTGTGACCTGTGTGAGGTTCTGGCACTGGATGGGACTGTTGATAGCAAATCACCTCCAGCTAAGAAGCCCGACATCTTAGATCTGTTTTACAGCTGGAATGTTACATCAGGAACGCTGAGTATTTGGCTGGTTTGGTTCACGGCAAGTTTTGGATTCTACTCTTTGTCTATGAGGCCTTCTCATTTAGATGACGGTGACTACTACTTCAACCTCTTATTCCTGGGTAAGTAGTTAGAACATCGTTAAATGTGACAATGAGATGTAACTTCTATGTTCTTAGTGTGTCTTCATTGTCTGTCTAAAAGGAATACTAACTGTACTACCGTATCTTTCAGTGTTATTCTTTCTACTTTAATTCATGTATATATTTTCTTTCTGGGGAAAAAAATGCAGCAAAAGAATCTAGTCGCTACTCCTCCCTCCTGTGTCTTCTCATTGCTATCCTGCTTAACACCATCCTCAGAGAATTTTGCCCGAAGGTAACTTGTGTGCTGTTTGGCTTGGACCCTTTTACCTCTTCTTCTATGCATTTCCATATACTTGTGCCTATAAATATTTCATGCTTTAACACAAATGAAATTGTGTGCTACATATGCTATCTTTTTAAAATGTGATACATCCTGGGAATCTAGTAACTTCCCATCTTCAAATATGCTTAATTTAGAAATGTGATTAATAAACTGAAATGTGGATTTTCATGCTTCCCGCATTTTAGTAGCAGGTTAAAATGGCTTTAGATATCTTGAAATGTGACCCTTGGCATAAGCCAAGTTTGAATTAAACTCTAGAGAAATACCGAACTTCATTGGAGAAAGTACACATTTCTCCATCAAGCATTAACTCCTGGTCATTTGTGTGTAGGCTGCCTGTATTAAGTAAGAAAATCTCAAAAATATTTGCCCTGATGACCCATCCAGATTTATTCATTAGACCACAGCAAAAATTGGAAATCATTTTAAGAAAATACATTTACTCCTCTCGGGGGGGCAAGTTACTAGATACAGTTGTAACAAGAGCTTTTCTTAAAAATTGCTTTATTTTGACTATCTTTACATAGTTGATTAGGGCACAAAGGGTCAAGAGCTACAGGAAAGTGGGTAAGACTATTGTTTCCACATTATTATATATTATTATTATTATTATCTGGGGAAAGAAGGAGATAAAGGGAGGAGCTCCACCCAGCCTCCCAGCCATCCCAGGTCCCCAATCTGGGACATGCTCCGAGGGTCCAGCTTGAGTGGTTTTGGTAATTCAACAGTTCTGAATTGCTGCCAGTCTTGCCATTCCAAGCCCGATGAAATCACTGTAAAATCCACTGGCTGACATAGTCCACCTTAGAGTCTCCATTTGCCCAGATTTTCACTGCCAACACCTGACTGGGGTAGTTGATTGATTTGTTCTGTCCTCCATCCTCTGTTGTAGTACCAGATGTCCTCTGTAGGTTCTGATGGACTTGCCATATCCTCCATGTGCACCTGGATATGCTGTCCACTGCTCTGTCTGAGCCTCTGAGGAGGCTCTGCTTTGACACTTACACTCCATGGTCAGACCATGGATCTTCAATTCCCTTCATGATTGGGGTTCTGAGTCCAGCAGTTTGACTGGGGAGATGCCCAAAGAAACTTCATCTGAGATGATCCCAGACCTGATCCTTGTGTGTGCTTGCCAGTGCAGGGCCCAGCACAGTCCATTGCCCCAACCAGCAAATGCATATGCTGTTCATTGCAATTGCTGGGTCAGCTCTGTTTCCAATCCTGTCCTCCACACAAACCAATGGGTGTTGCAGACCAGCCTGATTCTGTCCACTTCATACTCAGCCCTCACACAAGCCAGTGGGAGCTGCAGCCCAGTCGGGGTGACTCCCAGTAACCCCCACCAGGTCTGCACCCTGCCCTGGGTCCCATGCTTGCCAGTATGTACCATAGACTTCTTTAGTCTGTCCCACATCCCATTCAGCTCGCCTACATGTCAATGGGCATTGAAGCCTAGTTCACCCAACCAGGCCCACCATCCAGCTCATGCACATACTGGTGGGTACCATTCTGTCCAGCCAGGTCTGCCCCAATCTTGGTTTTCATGCTCTCCAGTAGGAGTGGTAATCCAAAAGGAAGGTGCCCACTATTTCCCTACTGGGTTACTCCCGGATCATGTACTTTCCAAGTGATTCTGAAGTTTAACTTGACAGAATTAGCCCCCAATGCCAGCTCCTGCCAGCTGATGCTGCAGCAAACCCCAACCAACCCTCATCCTTTCTGATTTATGCTTGCACCAGTAGGGACAGTCAACCAAGCCTGGCTTTTCCCTGATCTGGCTCACACGAGACCCACAGGTGTTGTAACTCTGCCTGGTCTGGTTTGTCTCCATCCCAACTCAAGCTCTCCAGTGGGACTGGTGTTCCAGCGGGAAGGCCCTCCACATTACTGCTGCCAGCTTTACCCTCTTCTTCCCTGGTTCCTACATGTCCTGGTTGGGTGCTGCGACACTGTCTGGCATGGCCTGCCTCACCTCAGCATTTGCCAGTGTTGTCTGACCCGGCCTGGTTCACCCCACTTCCAACTGGTGAGGGTTACAGTCTAGCTCAGTCCAGCAGGCACCCAATCCCAGCTGTAATGTGTACTGGTATGTGTTGTGACCAAACCTGGCCCAACCCACACTGTTCTGGTGCTCAGGTTCACCAGCAGGTGATACAAACTGGTTCAGCCTGGTCTGCCACCAGCCTGTGCCAAAATGTATGCCAGTAGGTACCTTTCCCTGGCCTAGTCTGGGCTGCTCCCTATCGTGGTTCTTGCACTCACTTGCAGGGACTGTGTCTGCCAGAGGAGTTGCCCAGACTCCTTCATCAGAACCTCTCCCAATGCCAGATTTTGCACATACTAGTGGGTGTGCACAGCCCTAGTTAGTCCACCTCCTGTCCTGGAACAATAGTGGCCTTTCCTGACTGACCTCCAACTCATTCTGGTTCTTACTGTTGAATGTTTCAGCCCAGGCAAGGTTTGTCCATACCCAGACACTGCGCATAAATGGCTCAGTAGGGGCAGACACCTAGTGTGTCCTACATCTACCCTGGTCCTCCAGAGTACCCGATGGTACTGGAGTCTAGCCTGGTTAGGTGTGTCCAGTCCCAGTCCACACTTGTGCCATGGGAGACTGCGGCCATATCCAGACCAAAACGCAGCCCCCACTCCGGTCCCTGCACTCACCAGTGTGAACCCCAAATCAGCTAGGGTGTCCTCTTAGCTCCCCAACTGGACCTATTCCCAGCCATAGATTGCTTGCATGCCAGTGGTTGCTCTGACTCAGCTTGGCATAGCCCCTCACCTGTCTTGACCTTTGCCTTAGATGCTGGCTTAGCATCCCTGGCTCATGCAGACCAGTCAGTGTAAGAGCCTAGCTCAGCATGACCTGTGCTCCAACCAGATTTCTATTCTTAGTTGTGAGCTAAGGTTTGCTCCACCCTGCCTGGTCGGTCCCCTTCCATAATCAATCCACATATTAGCCAGCCATTGGAGCTACTTTGCCCAGCTTGTCCAACCCCCAGACCTGGAGCATGTGATCATCAGTGAAGGTTGTAACCCACTAGGCGAGTTCTCCAGTTTCCCCCAGTTGAGCCACTCCCAGACCCAATTCTCATACATGCCAGTGGGTATTAGTCAAGTGCTTGACATTTGGCCTTGTATGAGCTGGTGAATGTTGCAGTCCAGCCCACCCCATATCCTGTTTTAGGATGCACATTAGGGTGCTGCTGCCTTGACCAGCCCAGATTGTTGTCAATTCCTTTACCTGTGAGTGATGACAGGTTCCATGGTCACACCTAGCTCAGCCCATCACCACTCCAACTCTTGAGCTAACCAGTGGGATTTGTATTTCCACAGTGTTTGGCCCACATACCCCACACAGAATCTACCCCCCGGAAATAGTTCTCTCATGTGCTGGATAGTGTCATGGCCCTGCCTAATGTGATCCATACCCTGATTTAGCATTCTTTCAGGTACTAAGATCTGGCCCTGCTAGACAACACCCAGCCCTAGCTTTGGCATGGGCTGGTGTGTGGTGGTTAGCATTGTTCGGTGAGAACAAGTTCTACACAGGACTCATAGGTAGACTCGTATATCAGTCTCATCCATAAAGATCATCTGATCTCTCTCCTCCAAACCACTAGGTCTCAGTACCCTTGCTTACATTCAAGGAAAAGTTACTCTGTCATTGGGATTCCTTCAGGATTGATTCACATCCCACAAGAACAGTGGACTCAACATGGACGGACCTAGGCAGCAATTCCATATCCCCAATACCCCAGAGTTTGCTGCCAGTGGCCAGCAGGCAGAGCCTGGCACCAAATGGTGCACTGGCCACCCAGGCTCAGCTCACCACGTGGCTACAACGGCTGGAGCCAGGGCCACACACATGAAGTTGGACCTGGCCTGGGACCTTGCAGCAGCTAACAGGCTGCTGGAAGTCGTCCCACCCAGACCCCAAGGTCGTACCCTTCTGGTCCCACCCACCACACAATGCTGGCAGCAGATGGAGCCACTCTCCCCCTCCCCCCGCCCCAGTGTGTAACAAGAGTCTTCACTTCCAAGCTCAGCCTGCATATCATTTTGAGAAACAATGTAGTGTTTCCAAAACAGACCTACAAAGGAAAGCCCTTGGTGGGGGAGAGAAAGTCCCAGGGCTATAGTGGGCAAAGGAAAGCCTGAGCTTCCAGTCTCTGTGATACAATTTCTGAACTGGTGTAGAGATGCACCAAAGGAGCTGGGCCATCCCATGAACATGAAAATATTTCCAGAGACAAATATGTGTGGCTCATATTTGGGACCTGCACCTGCCATGCTGGCCATTTCATGTCCTTTCCTCCTGACCAGCACTCTTGTTGAGAGGTGCTTCTTGTCAGCATGCCTCTAACAGGAAATTTTGGACAAGCTTCCATCTCTTGGGGTGGTTGGGACTGGTGGCAGTTTCAGGCCAGTTTTGTACCACCTGCAGCTGATGAGCTTGAAGTTGCTGCGAGCTGCACCTTGGGGTTATATGGTAAGAGGGGCAGGGTGGGCTCCAGTGACTAGAGGGCTGGCATGTAATTAAATGAGGACAGACGTGGTGCATTGTCCTAATGCCAAGGAAACCAAGCCTCCTTGCTAACAGCGTGGAAATCCCAGCCCTGGTCAAGCCGAGAAGGTGGGTGCTGTTTCCATGCTCTAGAATACCAATGCAAGAAGCACTCACACAGGGCCCTTGATTCCTTTTTTTAAAGTTTCATTTCTTTACTTGTAAGGCAGAATGACAGAGAGAAATCTTCTATCCAGCATTCTACTCTAGCAAAGTCCTGTAACAGTGAGGGCTGGGCCAGGCAAGAGCCAAGAGCAAGGAAAACTCCATGTGGATCTTCCATGGGGTGACAGGAACCCAGACACTTTGGCCATCCTGCACTGCCTCTGGGGTGCACGGCACAGAGTGGAGGTGACATCAGGAGTAGAGGTGGAAGTGGATCCAGGGCTCTGTCCTGTGGGACGTGGGTAGCCGGATGGCACACTTGACATTTCTCTCTGGCTGTGTCCAGTTGCCACCACTGCCCCTCCCCCAAGAATGTTGGTTGTGGCTAAGCACCCAGTCCCCTGAGCCAGACCTGAGAGAAGAGGCGGCTGCTGGAAGAGCTGTGACTTGGAAACACAGGGCCTGCAGTGCCAAAGAGGTCCTTAGCAATCTTGGTTGTGAAGGCGGGGCTTGACCCGGGCCTACCAGCAGGCGACACTCCCACAATCATTGCCTTGTTTGGTAAAGGAAAGCGCAGTCCGGACAGGTAGCAGTTCACCTTCACTCAATAAAAGGGAGGGACCTTGTTTGCCTGGAGGCTCCCAGTGTTGGGTTCACCCCATCCCAAGCCAGTGCTTTCACCGAACACCCGCGGCAGAGCCATTTCTGAGGTCAGGGTCGTGTGCCCTGGAAAGATGCACAACTTACGCGGTGTGAGACCCTGAGACCCCTGCCTTGTCTCTCTGGAGGCTGCCCCAAGCCGTGGCTGACCAGCACCGTCGTGGCCATGACCTGGGGCTGCGCCAAAGCTAGAGGAAAGAAAGCTACCAGGAGGGAAGTGAGGGAGGCGCCGACCGCAGGACAGTGTGCGCCCCTTAGAAGGCCCTGCCGGCTCTGCAGTTTTGCCTGTGCCCTGTACGCCTGCGGCTGACAGCGCCCACCCAGGCTGGTTGTGCTTGGTTCTGCATCCCAGAGTCAGTCCCGGGTTCCTCAAGAGAGGGACTCTCAAGTCAACAGATCCATGCCTAGATTTATGGGCTCATCTCGCTGTGATGGGAGTAAAAAGAGCAGAAACAAAGGCCCAGTTCTGAAGGGGGAGGAATTTGTATTGTATTTTTGAAACATTATACTTTCAGGTTTCAAATCTATTAAGTGATTGTGACTGATTTCTGAGCTTAGGCAACACCAAATTTGCTACTTCTTGGTTTTGTCAGTAAAGGGAAGAGGCAGCTGCCACCTGCAGCGCTGGAATCTTGGCTGCTCCACCTCCTTGGGAGCCCCTTGCTCCTGCTCTGAGGAGGCAGTAGAAGGCCTCAGGGATCTAGACTCCTGTTACCCACGTGGGAGGCCCACATGGAGTATTTGTCTCAATTGCTGTCTCTGTAACTCTGCCTCACAAATAACTAAGCAAATTAAAAAAAAAAAAAGTGCAAAATCAGGGCCGAAGTTTGCTATGTTTCCGGGACATAACATGATGTGTGTGAGACCTCCAGCTAGGTGAGCCTAAGCTTGCCCAGGAGCAGTCAAGGCACTGTCTGTGATAGAGAGAGGAAGTTTGGTGCTCTTTTTTGATTGCCTGCCATGCACTCACATTCCTTCCAGGACACATGGAGCTGTCTGTCGCAGTTAGTCTTCAGCCCCTTGGCTCAGCTGCACAGGAGTGTGCTGGAAAGGACACGGAGCTTGTGTTTCGTGTTCCATGTTGAGGTTTAGAGACTCACAAAGAACTTACACGTTGCCTATACAGTTGTGGACTATTGGCCTTTGGATCTTTCTGCATTACGACCTCCATGTTTATTTGTCTCGAACCATTATTGAGTTTGAAGCTATTGATTAAAAAGAAAAAAGAAAAAACCCTCCCCTGAGCTCGGGGAGAAACTGAAGATCAGAAATAATCACTGTTGTCTATTAATTTGCTCATTTATTCACTCAACAGGTGCATCCTCTGGGCACCACGCTGTGCCCTGGGGCAGCAGCCAGTCTAGTGAGAGAGATAAGATCTCTGGCAGGCAGCAAGTGCTAAGTGGACAACAGAAGCATTGTCCTCCCAGTGGGGGTGAAAGTGGTGGGCCTGCAGCCTGATGGGCAGCCCCTGGCTCGCTCTCACATAGACAGAAGCCCCTACAGGCCCCGCTGATGCACGGGTGGGTGTCGTGGGCAGGCAGCTGCCAGTCTAATGGATGGCCTCTGGACTCTCAATGACAGCCATGTTGGAAATTCCTGCCTACAACTTCACGTGTGTCCTGGTCAATAAGATGGGAAGAAGAAATGGCCAGGCCTTCTACCTCTTCTGCATTGCTATCTTCTGCACCATAATCATCGTGCTCCCCTGGGTAAGCTGTTGTTTGTTTCATGTTGGGAACAGTTAGCCATACTCTGACAGGTTTATTTTTAGAAGGATTGTTAGCACATTATAATTAATCTGAAGCTCAGTTCAGGCCATGGACAATGAATACAGTTCAAACCCATGAACAGTGTATACATATTTAAAGTCATGTTTTCTTTAAAACTGTTATTTCTCTGTTATGCATGTAATACATGCTCATTGTATAAAAATGAAGAGAATGTATATAGTGTGTGTGTGTGTGTATATATATATATAGTATATGGTATGTATATATATAGTCCATAATACCACTGTCCAGAAATGGGCAGTGTTGCAGTTTATAAACATAATTGTATTGGGGGGGGGGGGAATTTTAAATCTCTCTCCTTGGGGTGGGCATTGAGATACAGTGGGTTAAGTCTCCACTTGAGACACCTGACCTGCATATCAAGCTGGTGGAATCCTGCCTAATCCGTGCTTCTGCTCCAGCTTTCTCTTATTGCATGCAGGAGGCAGGAAATGCTGCTTGGATGGAGTCCTTGGCTCCTGGCCTCTGGCTGGAGAGCCCTGACTGTTGCTGCCATTTGGGGAGTGATTCAGCGGACAGAAAATCTCTGCTTTCCTCTCTGCTCTCTCTCTCACTCTGACTTTCAAATGAATAGATAAATCTTTTTAAAGCACTCCTTACAGGAAAAGAAACATTATTTAGAAATCCAAAAGACAAAGCATTACCTCACTGGCTCATTTCCCAAATGCCTGCCATAACCAAGCCTCAGCCAGGTCGAAGTCAAGCACTCAGAACTCAGTTTGAGTCTCCCACATGTGACAGAGATGGAAAGTTTTGGCAACACCTGACGGGAGTTCATTGAAAAAGTTCAAACAGAAAAAAATAAAACTCTTCATTCTGAAAAATACTGAAGGAAGGAGAATATTTGTTTTTAAAAAAAATATTTTTATATTGCCCTTTAAATACTACTAATTGATTAACCTTCTACTCTGCTCATATTTTTTCAGAAATATTTTAAGACCATATATGTGGCAATTATTTGTGTAAAGTTCTTCGTAGGATCGACATTTGGCCTTGTTTTTCTGTACACGGCAGAGCTGTATCCGACTGTGGTAAGGTGAGGGTGTTTCTCTGATACCTTCACAGGCCTGGCATCTCGTTATTCCCTCCCCTCTCCACCACACAAGCTCAGAGGAAATGCCACGGTGAGTCCCAGGCTCCGTCTGCACCCCAGCAGCAAGGATCCTGGAGAAATCACTTTGAAATCCACTCTTTACCCCTGCCTCCTTTGCAAACCTGCTGCCGACTGGGCCCCCGCCTCTGGCACGGTGCATCTCCCGATGCTGATGTTGTTTGTACACATTGCCTCAGGTGGCCCCAAGGAGCTGCCACACCCGCTGACCGCATGGCTTCATGGCAGAGATGCTGGAGGCTGCAAGTCCCAGCTGGGAGCATCCACAGGAGCAGTTCCTCCCCACACCTCTCTGCTTGGGGTGCAGACAGTACCTTCACCCTGTGTCCCCCCACAGTCTTATCCTGTGGGGGTGCCCCTAATGTCTGTCCCTCTTCCCACCAGGTCTGATGGATCAGGGTTCCAGCAAGATGACTTCATGTTAACTTAGAAATTTCATTAGAGGTCTTGTCTCCAAATGCTGTTACCTTCTAAGATGCTCGGGGTAGGGGGACAGTAGCACCTGACTTTGGGAGAGGACAAGATTAAATTCAACAATAACCATAGTGTCATGGTCATTGGTGGCCTTATCTGAAGGTTCTTAAGGCTGACATTAGATCAGAACCCCCAAACATTTGATTTAAAAAAAAAAACAATCTCCAAGCTTGGGTTCTCACGGTGGATCTCTGGGTTACTCTACCGATAAAACTCAGGTCTTCATGGAATCTGCAGGTGACATGGCACCATCCACTGGCACATTGCAATGCATGATGCAAGTTGCCCTGACCTGGGACTGCAGAGCCTTGTAGCAGGTTTCTCAAAGAAAGTTTACATGGAAACCCTACATTTGTTAAGAAGAGAGCAGAAGGGTTTAGAGACTCCACTGGGAGATCCGGGATCCGCCTCCTGCTCCAGGGATCATCACTGAACCCCCAGCTTCAGAAAGCACATCCTCTGAAAACCCTGGTTCCCTGGTAACCGCTCATGGCAGGGAGGTGGGCACTTGCTGCTTTTCCAGACTGATCTTCTAGAAGAAAACATCACTTCCCAGGGCCAACATTGTGGCACAGCACGTCAAGCCTCCACCTTAGACACACCTGAGACATCCGTGTCTCGTGTTGAAGTATTGGTTTGAGTGCTGGATGCGGTGCTTCCAATTCAGCTTCCTGCCAATATGCATGGGGAGACAGCAGAAGATGTCCCACGTGCTTTGGTTCCTGCCACCCACATGGGATACCAGGATGGAATTCCTGGCGCTTGGCTTTGGCCTGACACAGCCCCAGCTGTGAAGCCATTTGGGAGAGTGAACCAGCTGCTGAAAGATCATTCTCTTTTCAATGTCTCTCCCTCTCTGCCTGTTGCTCTGCTTTTCAAATAAGAGAGTACATAAACAGAACTTAAAACAATCTTAGCTGCTTACCTAATGCATTCACCTCTTTGAGGAGTATATTATTTGCTCTGTGTTTTAAGAGTGAAAGGCAGCTGATTTTCTAATTGCTTGTTTACTTCTGAAAGACCCACAGCAGTTGGGGCTGATCCAGGCCAAAGCCAAGAGTCAGCCCCTCCATCTGGGCCTTCCTATCTCCCCTTCCCCCACGGGTGGTAGCAGCTTCATGCTTTCAGCTGTTGCCTCGCAGACACATTAGCAGGAAGGTGGATTGGAAGCAGAGGCATTCAGCTGTTGGATGTGAGGTTGCCAAGCCATGGCTTGCGCTGCTGCATCCCCCAACACCCACCCCATCAGTACTCACATTGAGACCTTTTAGTTTGATCATTCAGTTGGTAAGTTGTTGGCCTATAACTGCAGATGCACACCCTCAAGAAAAAAATCCAACCTGTGAGTATTTCTTACAGGGTGTCTTTAACATGCTCAGTGGCTCCCTGAATTGCAAACACTGTGGCTAAAGCTTTGCTTCTGTGTAATTTCTCCCTCAAGAAGACTATTGTGCTTTAAGTATATATGTGTGTTTATATATATATATATATATAGGTATGCATATATGTATATTGGGAAGGCAGAGAGAGAGAAATATGCTACCTGCTGGTTCAGTCTCCAAATGCCCACAGGAACAGGCTCAAGCCAAACCCTGGAGCTGGGGTTCAATGGGGTTCAAGGCAGGTCTCCCACCCATGTGCGCAGCAGGGACCCAGTTACCTATACCATCACCAGGATGTGCATAAGCAGGATGCTGGAATGGGGAACAAACCCGGGCCTCGAGGGCAGGTGCTACAACAATGTGGAGTGTGGGCATTCCCAAGCAGCAGCTTTTGTTGTTGTTGCTGTTAGTTATTTTTATTTTTATTATTGATTACATTGCATTATGTGATACAGTTTTATAGGCACCCAAGCAGCATCTTAACCTCACCTAACAACTGTCCCAGAATGCCACCCTTTTATCCTGACCTTTCAGGAGGTGTGTCCAAGGGAAGAGGGAGCTTCACTGGCCTTCAGAGATCCTTGAAGACAGTAGGCAGTCTTGGCTTCTTAGCAGACATGTCCGTTTTCCTTCAGTGTCCTTTAAAGACAGGCATGCTCAGTATTTGCACGAGGCTCTCCTCCACTGAAACAGCATCATCCTCAAGTACGCACATCTTGGGAGTTCTGGAACGCCCTCTCCCTCCCCTACACAAACGCCTGCTGTACAAGACCCATGCCCTCCTTAGCCTGCAGGGCTCCAGTCTGCACACCTGTTGAAGGATGCTATGGGTCTGGGATGACCGTAACTTCTGTGCATGCTCACCCACACCTTGCACCACAGAATTCAGGGAAACATACCAAGAATTCTGGAACATTACAAGCCAAGTGATTTCTGGGCTAAAGTTGGTAATCTTCCCCCTCAAGCCAGGAGGGTGAAAAGGGGCTTGCTCACTGAGTCCCACTTGCTCTGTGCCTGCATCTCATTCTTGCTGGTGTGCTAACCTCTTATTGTTTGCAGGTCACTGGCCATGGGCACTAGCAGCATGGTGTGCCGCTTGGGGAGCATCTTCGCCCCAGTTGCCCTGCACCTGAGCAACACTTGGATCTACACACCACAGGTGTCAACGGGCAGGTGGTGGTCCCTGGTGCTGCCTTTCCTCTCAGTCCTGGGGGAGCCCTCCCACCTGCTAGATTCCCCCTCCTCCTGCAGGCTCCTCCCTTCCAGATCCTTCTTTGATGGCTTCCTCAGTAAATCCCTTCTCCTGACCAGTCCCAGGACCTGTCCCAGCTCTCGTGTAACCTCACAGATGCCCTGTCTGGACGCAGGGCACTATACACTGCCTTTCCCAAGCAGAGCTGGGTCATCTGTCAGTGCCTTAAGCCCTCTCCCTGACCCCATCCCCACATCCTCCCAGTCATGGATCCTTAGGTGCTCTAAAGCTCCCTCTAGGCTGCCCTGGCTTGCCAGTTTCCAGGGCTCCCAGCAGAACTGCATGGTGGGCACCCTGGTTGTGACCGGGACCCATGCACCTCTGTCAGTTCCACAGAGAAATCCAGTCTTAGCCAGTATTTGGATCTTTCCGGATGGACCCTTTGCCCAGCCTCCCTGTGGTCCTGTTTCCTCACACAGCTTCCTCCTCCTCACACTCAGGTTTCCAGTCCCTCTTCCCACATCGTGTTGTCACACACTCCCACCCCACCAATGCAGTTGTTTAATCAGTTCCTCCCTCTCTCTCTCTGAGTAGCCCTCGAACACCCTCTGCTTGTCAGATAACTGAAGAATCGATCATTCAAAACAGAAGTCTGTTTGGGTTAAAAGTGTTTGCAATGCAAGCATAGCTTTCCATCCCCATGGCTCCTCCCCACATCAGTTTCAGACTCCACCCTCTCGGCAGAGCTCCCAGAGTGTCCCAGCCTTATTTCCAGTTTGGCTGAGGAGGCCCAGGAGTCCGATAGCCAGTTGCCCAAGGTCACAGGCAGTGGGTGGCCAGGCCCCAGCAGAGTGGGGATAGCAAAGGGCTCAGGAGGGCACCAGGGTAGCAGAGAGGGAAGGTTCAAAAGGAGGGAGACCACGTGATGGGGTCGGGGAAAGGCAGCCTCTCAGAGAGGGAGTGGAAGAGGGACTGGCCAGCAGGGCTGTTGGATAGAGGGTTGGGTGATGTGGCAGGGGCTGGCCAGGGCCACAAAGCAGGAGGTGTGGACACTGCCCAAGTCAGGCGCACATCTGTCACATCTGCCACTTGATTCCGTTTGCTTTCAGAGTCACTCATTGACTTCAGACCCTGACATGGCCCTCGAAGTTCTAGATTAGTGAGCAGCCCTTTGGAATCACTGTGACTGCTGGCAGGGGGGTTTCTAAAGGGCTGGGAGAAAGGGCCTCCCACCCCACCCCTTGCTGACAGTGGGGAGGCCTCCGTGCCTGCCAGGCACCCCTGTGACATGAGCCTCTCTGTCTCAGAAGCTCTGAAAGCACCTGTCAGTCAGAGATCCCTTTGCTCCTGGGATCTTCCCTCCAACTTTAGGAGTCCAAAGGAGTCAGGGACAGGTCACATTCTCAGAGTTTTCCTCCCCAAAATCACCCTGCATCTTCATCATGAGGCACAGAGGATCTGCAGACTTGACTATCCAATGTGGCCTGAACACACATCAGGGCCACTCAGAGTGGCCTGGTGGGTACCACATCTGAAAACACGGAAACTGCACCAATAAGTCTTTTTTGTTTTCCTGAAAGATTTATTTATTTTTTTTTATTGAAAAGGCACATTGACAGAGAGGAGGAGAGACAGAAACACTGTCCATCTGCCAGTTCACTCCCCAATGGTCACAATGGACAGAGCTGAACCAATCTGAAATCAGGAGCCAGAAGCTTCTTCCAGGTCTCCCATGCAGGTGCAGGATCCCAAGGCTTTAGGCCATCTTCCACTGCCTTCCCAGGCCACACCAGGGGGCTAGATGGGAAGTAGAACAGCTAAGACAGGAACCCACATCCCGATGGGATGCTGGCTCTTGCAGGATGAGGATTAGCGCGTGGAGCCACAGCACAGCTGTAGTAGGGGCTCACCTAGGCCCCGCCCCGTCACAGAGAGCAGTCAGTTCCCCTGGCTCTGTTTCCAGCTGCGTCTGCAGGCTCTGATTCATGAGAATACACATTTTCTCACCACTCCTTCACTCACTCACCGCTCATTCATTCTCTCTTCATGTCCATTACCCCTCCAGCACTTAGTGCATGCTGGCCATATACCAATGACAGGGGCAGGAACTAAGTTCCCACATGGCCAAGGCCCAGCCCAGGAATGTTGCATGGATCTGCCAGGAGACTCTGGGGCCTGGGGAAGACGGGACCCAGCTCCTCAGACAACCCTTCCCAGGTAGTTAGGCAGCTGCAGCTGGCGCCTCTCCTCAGAGGCTGGGGTGGGGGTGGGGGGGGTGAGTTAAACACCAGGTGATCAAATGAGGTAATCAAATGAGGTGAGACAGAATTCCCCCACACACCTTCCCCACCCCAGGGAAGCAAATATTAATTAAGGTAAGTT